GATTAAGATTAAAATTATGCTTTCAACTTTCTTTACTCCTCACAGCAGCAAAAGTGTTAACAAGGTAGCACACTCAACACACTCAAGCATGAACAGGTAATTTCCTTGATCGATCAGCATTGAGTATAGTCTATATAATAGGTAGCCTACAGCTTTCCTCCTCTTTCTTTGCTGCACCTTCAGACAATTATGTATTCTACTTGGTTTACTCTTTAAAGGGAAACTCCAGTGCCAGGAAAACAATCCGTTTTCCTGGCACTGCAGGTCCCCTCTCCCTCCCACCCCCCAATCCCCGGTTGCTGAAGGGGTCAAAACCCCTTCAGTAACTTACCAGAGGTAGCGACGTTTTTTCTATACTACAAAAAGGTTGTATTTTTCAGAATTACCTTTTAAATCAAAAGAGAAAACTTCTCTTTTGATTTAAAGGTAGTTCTGATGTATTAATATGGATAATAAAGAACAAGCCAAGGAGGCTATTACTGACGCTACACTATCTGAGCCGGCATGAACACTTCCAAGCTATTTTGGATGAATCGTTTAATAAAACTGTATTAAATCCCATCATGATAGCCTTGTCTTCTATGCAGGAATATTTGTCTAAATCTATGGCTATAGCTTTATCTCCTACTTTTACTAGAGTCTGCTGAGGAATTCTCTGGCAATCTAGCTCAAGGTTTAAAAAAAAAAAAGAAAATACTGTTTAGATGGTCCTACTGTCTCCTAAACATGTTAAAAGCCACATGGAAAAAAAAGGACCAAGCTAAATTAAAGGAACACTATAGTGTTAGGAATAGAGATGTCGCGAACTGTCCGCCGAACTGTTCGCGAACTGTCCGCTGGCGAACAATAGCGTGTTCGCGTTGGGCGAACATATCCGATTTCCGGTCCGCCCCCTATACGTCATCATTGAGTAAACTTTGACCCGGAACCTCACAGTCAGCAGACACTTCCTGGGAGGGAGGGTCTGCTGCTGATTGGGTGGAATGTGTCTGCTGGCTGTGAGGTTCTGGGTCAAAGTTTACTCAATGATGACGTATAGGGGGCGGACCGGAAATCGGATATGTTCGCCCAACGCGAACTCGCTAGAGGAGGGCAACGGGAACTTTACAATGTTATTCACCTTGCTTTTATTATGTAATAGCCTCCACCCACTGGCCATGGGTGGGTGCACCTCACCAAATGCCCATGGGTATGGACCTGAGGAGCCTTTGCCTGGTCTCCCCTGCATTTTTAAAGTAACTGGGCAGCAATAGCTAACTAGTCACTAGTGCATCATTACAGCTAGCAGCCACTGTTTAGCGGACATGCTCTCATGGAGAGGGGGGCATGGAGAAGGTAATAAACCTCCTTTATACTAATGTGAAGCTCATATTGACCCCCACCGGCACTGGCTGCAAGTGCTGCCTGCAGGAAAATATTTAAAAAAATAAAGTATTTATCAACAGATTTCAGCGGTCAATATTTTCAGGCCATTTATCAGGGATTATGTCCTTGATAAATGGCATTGAATCTCTGAATCCAAATATTTTTTGAAAATTATTATTACTTAAAGCAATATTTATTGGTTTCCGATAAGCTCTTGTAATTGATTTGAACCGATAAAGGGCTTGTCAGGAGCCATTAAACTGGTGATAAACATGGCTGCCTAGATCAGTGGTTGTCAACCTTTTTAAACCTACCACCCACTAATGCAGTGTTTCCCAACCCAGTCCTCAAGGCACACCTACCAGTCCAGGATTTAGGGATTACCCAGTTGTGTCTAAGGTGTTTTTACAAAGAAGAAAAAAAACACCTTAGACCAAACTGGGTAATCCCTAAATCCAGGACTGGTAGGTGTGCCTTGAGGACTGGGTTGGGAAACACTGCACTAATGCATCTTTCTTGATGGAAACATTTCCTTACCGCCCAGTAGTTTTTTATTTAGCTTTTAGCTCAATTGCGGAATATTTTTTAGAAAGGAGGGTGTTTAAAAATTTTCAATTTTTTTATTTTAAATGTATCTTTTTATTTCTACTTTATGCATGTTTATAATGTTTTTAACTTCATAAAGTTTAATGAGGAAACAATAAAGAAAATTGAAATTACCTTTAACTAGTGATTAATGAGATCCTTGAGGCTGATGCTGCAAGACTAAATATTTGATATCTGGTTTGATTTTCCTTTATTCTTTTTTTTTACCTTCCTGAGCTAGGTAGCCCACTTATTTTTATTAGCCAACAACAATTCTCTCCTTCTCCTTCATGTATTTTTTATTTTCCTTCTTTCTCCTATTTTACAAGTACTCTGCTCCTTCTTTCTCTTATTCTTCAAGTACTCTGTACCTTCTTTCTCCTATTTTACAAGTACTCCGCTCCCTGCTATTGTGTATCTCCCTACTCCAACTCCTCCCTTCCTCTACACGCATGTTACACTTGTTCGCGCGAGCACACGTTCATGCCCGAGCATCTGCACGCCCGCACTTCCTGCTAACCACTGAGTGCGCGAGAAATAAATAGAGCGTTCATCTCTCTGGATGGAGGAAGGATTCTGCTTGTGCTGTAGAAGCCACTACCGCCCAACTGGAATCCTGAAACACCCACTAGTGGGCGGTAGGGACCAGGTTGACGACCCCTGGCCTAGATTGTAATTGAGGCCTATATACCTATTTAAATATGTTTGTTATGGGCAAATGAAAATATTACAAGTTTTAGAATGAATTGTTGTATTTCTTAAACTGTGTACTTTGTCTTTAAGAGATATTGCAAATTGACAAGGTGTTAGAAATGGAACATATTGTTAATCATAACTGTTTCTTTAAGCAATAACCTCAGTGCATATTATGTTTATGCCATTTTGTCCCAGACGAATTACAATAACAATAATGCATAAACAAGCTTCAAGGCTATACTACGACTCTTTCAGTACGTAATATACTGTGGTAACCTTAGTAGATAAGGATGTTCAGACTTTAAGATGCCATCTTGAACTAAGTCAGGAAAATTTCCATGACGTATACACCCTTTAGTTATGGACTTGTATTTTTGGCAAGTTAAGGGAGGTCCTAAAATGAATAAAGTAAAAGAAGTGTTACTTTTTCATATATGACCTACGGTAACCCTAAAATGGAGACACCTAAGGTATAAATAGGTGTACTTTTAAATGTTAAGACACAGAGGAAAAACTTGGAGACAGACGCTGCTCCATCTTAAAATGACAGAGAGGCTGACATGATGACATGTTCAGAAGGGTATGTTAACCTATTAATGATATTTACAAGCATTTAGTTTAATCTTATAAACTATGCTATAATGGATTTTATATGTCTATATTTATATTTTTATATAATAAATATCAAAAAGACAAAACTTTATTGCTTCCAAGACAATCCTTATTTTATATTGTATTGTATTCTCAATTATTTATATATGTTAAATAGAAGATCTCTTACACTAACTATATGAAATTTTGGCTAAGATATCTGTATGGTCAGCCCTACTAAGTTCTATGCTTTAAGACGTTATGGTGGTAAATAAGGGAACCAGCTACGGTTACACGTTCCTGTGTTGTTTTGCTAAATGGCCACAAGATGGCATGATAAGTTCATCGTTTAGTCCTTTCACAAAAACTATAAGCTTTTGCTGTCATCTAGTGGCTACATTGCAGAACAATAATGTAGAGAATGAGGGAAATACTCAGTATGTTTTACTCCCTCAAAGCTGTATTTACTAAACTACAAAGTCTCTGTAAGTCTCCAGAGGAATGAGACGACGGGGAGCACTTAGATGTCAGACAAACACAGGGCAAAATTGACTTGGAGCACACAGTGGAGATAGGTGGTGAATAGACCATCAGTCTAAGCAATCACCAGTTATGAGGAAGAAATAAGATAGCTGCAGTGGGAAATAATTAACGGACATGAGACTAGTAGGAAAACCTGGCTATAGACATAATGATAAGAGGAACACAATGAGGCTAGTCAAGAGAAGGGGAAAAAGTAAGGAGGTTGCAAATCCAGAGAGTAAACCTTTGCTGTGAGAATATCGTAGAAAAGTCCTGCAAACATATGAGAAGGAAGTTTACATGCCTGTCTTCTATGGTGTCTAGACTCAGACAGATGTTCTCCTAATAAGCATAAAAAAAAAAAACCAACCCAAGAATAAAGGATAGTCTATATTGTGACCAGACATTTTATACAAATGGAGTTAGGCTCCGCTCAGTTCTGAAAAACATTTTTGCTCATGTGTGCCACTAAAGAAAGAACCGTTACTATTTGCATACCAACCTTTTCCCACATCTGATCCTATCCTGACAAGCAAGGATTATGTTTCTTTTAGTTCTGTTTCTTTAATAACAAGTTCTAGTTTCCCACCACTAGTGGCCTCCCTAACTACTAGAACTGAACTTACCTTCATCATCCTCACCTGCCTGGACTAATTACAAATCCTACATAAGGCTACACCCTGCTCACAACGGGGCCTTTACAATGAAGTTGATGGTCAACCAGAAGGACTTCTGTTCCTGGCTCCTGTAATCATACCTTTGGACTTGCGTTCTTTGCTACATTCTTATTGAAAACCAACCTGATCGACGTTATCATCCTTTTGTTACCAGCCTACTTTATTCCAACCTGAACTACTCTACAAACACTTGGATAGCGCGGGCCCTGCATGGACCGACCGGGGAAATCCTGTGACCTCCCCTGCTGGCCTCAACCCATAGTCATTACGGCATTTGCCTGGTGTGCCCGATGGCCAGTCTGGGCCTGATTACATGGCATTATGTACACTTAAAATGACACGTAAAATAAATTGGAAAAATCATAATGTTTAGAGCCCTTACGAGTCAGCTCTAAACTGTGCAGGCATTTCATCAGTATAATGATGTAAAAGTGGAAGTATTTTCATCGCTGTATCCTCCAAAATCAGCAGATACCTTTAGTTTGGAAATCAGAAACCAGGTGTGTATAGTTCAAGATTTTATTATTAAAAAACAAATAAAAGAACAAGCATCTAATATAGACTCTTCATCATTAGGAAACCAGCCCTGGCCGATGGACACGGAGTACATGCACCCAGGCAGTAGGAATCAGACCCACAGGACCCACTGCTTTAATGTCACTGTTGGGGTCTTTGGGAGTTCTGAAAAGTCCCCAGATGGTGAAAGTGCCGCTTTAAGAACTACTATTTTATTATTTTATTTTATTTAAAAAATGTTTTGACTAATTTGCATATGACTAGGGTCTCCCTTAGTCAAAATGTTAATCCAGACTTTGTCCCCCTTGCCCTTGCTTACTGTGCCTATGTGGGTATCAGCTAGACATGTGCAATTCGTTTCGTTCCAAATATCAATTCGGATGAATTTCGGGCAAATAGGACATTTGGACACTTCTAAATGTCCGAATAGCTGAATTGCCGAAGTTCCGAAATTGCTGAATTTCCAAAGTGTCGAAGTTCCGAAGCACAGTATTGCCAAAGTACCCAGTGGAAGAATGAAGAATGTTACACTGTATACAAGTTTAAATAGAAAGTATACAAACATAGCCAGGATTCAGCTGTAAGCATTTGCAACACTTACAACAATCAAGTAACACATTCATGTAAAATGTAAGTTACTTAGCCTGTCAATGGAATGACAGGAATGAATAAGTAGATAACTCCCTAATTCCCACGGTATTAGGGAGCTGTGACAGATCCCTCTGTCTTGGAATTATAGTGCTTTCCCGGTGGATTCGTGTAATTGCCTGTCCGTACTTCCCCGTTCGTTTATTTGTTAATCTACCGAACGGCCGGCCACCCAGAAGAGGAGTGTGCTGCTGCTTAACCTATTGGCCCCAATTTTTTGGGGCTGAAAAAAGATTTTAGATTTTTTTTAAGGTACCTATTTATTTTTTTAGGAGGGGGGTGACTAGAGGTTTGGGGATCCCTAGTCACCTGGGGGGGTGTATTTTTATTTAGGACTCCTATCTGCCGCTCAGGGGTGGGGGCCTGGGGGGAGGACAATAGGTCCCCCCCCCCTTATTGGTATTTAGGGCCCCCATCCACCGCTCAGGGGTGGAGGCAGTGGGGAGGACAATAGGTCCCCCCACTTATTCTAATTTAGGGACCCCACCCACGCTCAGGGTATTTAGGGCCCCCATCCACTGCTCAGGGGTGAGGAGGACAATATGTCCACCCTTATTCTAATTTAGGGCCCCCACCCACCGCACGGGGTGGGGGTCGGACAATAGGTCACCCCCCTTGAAGTAATTTAGGGCCCCTACCCACCGCTCAGTGGTGGGAGGACAATAGGTCCCCCGCTTTTTTAACTTTAGGGCCCCGCCCGCCCCATTTTTCTGATTTAGGGCCTCCGTCTGCCGCTCAGGGGTGGGGGCCAGTGGGGGCAATAGGTCCCCCCGTGTTTAAAAGCCCCCACTTTTTATTTAGTATTAGTAAATTTGTCTGAATACCGTGGGAATTAGGGAGTTATCTACTAATCGGCTGCAAGAGAAGTCCCAAAGTCCAGAAATTCCGAAATTCCAAATTTTCCAAATTGCCGAAGTCCAAAATTTCAGAATGCAGAGCCAAACCAAATATTTTCCCCATGCACATCCCTAGAATCAGCAACAAATCATTGATACGGCCCAATGAAGGCCAAAATTATCTTTCTGTTTCTCTGGGTGCAAAGGGACCCAGCCAGCATTTCAGTTGTGAGCGGGATCAATCTCATATGCAACTGGCTAAGGTTCTCTCTGTAATGGCACAAGTGAGGTAAAGCCTGCATGAGACCGGAGCAGGGTCCCACTGAAGGGCAAGCTATTTGAGCTCTTGTCCATTCCCAGCGTTCTCATTTACTCTTGCTTTTGAATTGAGTTTTTTTTGGTTGTTGTGAACTTTTTCAGTTTACAACTAGTTAACCCCTTAAAGGACCACTATAGTGCCAGTAAAACATACTCGTTTTCCTGGCACTATAGTGCCCCCACCCTCAGGGACTCCCTCCCGCCCGGCTCTGGAAGGGAGAAAGGGGGAAAAAACTTACCTTTTTCCAGCGTTGGGCGGGGAGCTCTCCTCCTCGTCGGCTGAATGCGCACGCGCGGCAAGAGCTGCGTGCGCATTCAGCCGGTCGCATAGGAAAGCATTATCAATGCTTTCCTATGGACACTGGCGTGCTCTCACTGTGAAAATCACAGTGAGAAGCATGCAAGCGCCTCTAGCGGCTGTCAATTCTCTGAAACTGCTATGTTTATAAAACAATGGGTTAACCCTAGCTGGACCTGGCACCCAGACCACTTCATTAAGCTGAAGTGGTCTGGGTGCCTAGAGTGGTCCTTTAAGGACACATGAAGGAAATATTCCATCATGATTCCCTTTTATTCCAGAAGTTGTGTCCTTAAGGGGTTAAAGCAGGTTTTAAATTTGGTGACAAAGCAGGTGGTGAGATTTAGCATGCAGCATGCTAATAAGTCAGTAAGTAGCACTCAACATCTCCTATTATACGCTACAGGAGATGATACATATATTTTTGGTTGGTAATTACCAGTAAGTTATTTTAGCAATTAAGAGCTTGTTTGTAAAATCAAACAACCTTGTAAACCAGCCCATGTCTTTTTGTATTCAATCTTGAAAAAAATTGACCTACAACAGAGAAGGCTTAAAGTCCCTCCGGGCATCATAACCACTTAATTGAAATGAAGCTGTTATGGTGCCACAATGTCCCAGTTCATGAACTATTTAACCTAAATTCTCCTCTCCTGCACCGGTTCGCTCTGCCCCCTCCAACATTCGCTTGCTAAAAAGCTTTAATACAGAAGCCTAGGTGCAGAGGCCCTGCTGATTGGCTTAGAGTGTCAGCTGACACACTCAGCCATTTAGTGACTTCCCATTCACAAAATGGCTTGAGGATTGTACATATTTTTCTCAACCCATTTTTATTCTCTGTAACAGAACTGGAAAATGTCATGCATTAGAATTTAATAATTATTTACTCTCCCAGTTTTGCTGAAGTCTGTCTGACACAGTGCCCTTTTTTCTGTCATAACTAATAATGTGTCAGTTATGGACAGGAGATACAGGGCACAGGATTTGATAGCTATTGCTGCCCTGTTGCTGATCTTTAATCTGTACGTGATGTTTGCCATGCTGTGGCCCCCAGGATTAATTGTAACACCTCTTTTGTGGTTTATTTACTTAATTATCCGATTGAGCATCATTTCCAACTGGATTAAGATCCAATTAGAAGGAAAAGACCTCTTAGCACTGCCGAATCCAATTGGATATTAAAAATCTAAATACATTCAATCCATATGGTCTTTGTGGGAATATAGAGTTCACTTATATATAGATTTTTTTTGTCAAATGTGTAAGGTTGTTTTGGCCTCATGTTAGGTTTAATTCGTGATAGGTAAAGGCAAGCCAGACTAATCCTTCATATATATATATACACACATATGTATCTTGAATATACTTCATTTTTTTTTTTACATGCATTCATGATTTGTAAAAGATGTATCTGTTTATTCAATATTGTATTTTAATTACTCAACATTTCAGCCTTCTTTTTGATTGGGTTCTGATTGGAGAAGGGATGTATAGAAACCTTGTGATATATGTAGTGGTTTGGATAACTCCTCACCCCTCTAGGAGAGCTTAACTAGGCTTAAAGGGACACAGTAAGCCTCTAGTAGCCATTTGAGGAGTGGCTAGGCAATTCCCTAGGCTGTAATGTAAAAACTGTATTGTCTTTGAAATAATGAAGCTGTAACTCTGCATGCTGTTAGACTCAGAAAGACAAGCAGTTTGCTGACATCATTAGAAGTGGTAGCCTGATCCAATCACAATGCTTCCCCATAGGATTGGCTGAGACTGACAAAGAGGCAGATCAGGGGCAGAGCCAGCACAATTCAAACACATCCCTGGCCAATCAGCATCTCCTCATAGAGATTAATTGAATCAATTAATCTCTATGAGAAAAGTTCAGCGTCTGCATGCAAAGGGAAGAGATACTGAATGTTTGGATGCATTTTAGGCAGCCATGACCCAGGAAGAATCTCTAATAGCCATCCGTGGAGTGCCCTGTGAAGTTATCACTAGGCTGTAATATAAACACTGCATTTTCTCTGAAAAGACAGTGTTTACAGCAAAAAGCCTGAAGGTAATGATTCTACTCACCAGAACAAATTCAATAAGCTGTAGTTGTTCTGGTGACTATAGTGTCCCTTTAAGGGACTGGCTATACTCACCAGAACAAATACAATAAGTTGTAGTTGTTCTGGTGACTATAGTGTACCTTTATCAATTGGTTGTGCTATCATTTTTGAAAAATCCTCCGTAGAATTAAATTTAAATGTATATGCTTTGTCGCGAACACCAGGCACAGCATGAGGTTATAGTGAACACCTGCAGTGTTGTTTGTATGAAGCATGCACATGTACAGAACTGCTGGAGAAAACTCAGTTAACATGCATTCATATAGAGTTTATGTAGATTCCCAAGCACGCATAGGGCATCACAGGATGAACCCCATCTCCCAGAATGCAGAATTTATTTTACTTACCTCCACTGCTTTTTTTTCCAACCCAGTAATTGGAGCAAAAGTGTTTAGTGGGATGAAGGAACAAGTCAATTCCTAAGCAGTGACAGTTCATCTTTAAGTTATACTGTATGCATAAAAAAAAAAAAAAATATTTAGTCTTCATTAAAAATGCTGCAATAGGGTGAGCTAGGCCTTCAGCCCATTGAAGTGATCTGGGTGCTGTGTCCCTTTTACATTGCAGCTCTAAGTCTGTCCATAGTGGCTGTCTAAGGTCAGTATATTTACACTGACAGACATTTTGTGTTAAGATAGAAATTAAAAATGTATACTGTAAGTCACAATTAAAACAGATGTGACAACATTTTGTAACAGAATACAAAAAGACAGACACATTTTTCTCTCTCTCTATACTCTATTCAGCATTGAGCAGAGGAATGCTCAAATGTAAACATTGCCAGATATAAGACATGATGTCTGCAGCAGTTGATAGCAACAACCCAGACACACACACATACACACACACATATAACTACAATTATGTTTAAATATAAATAGTAATAGTTAATAATATTAGAATATTCATGGATATAATATAATATCAATGAAGAAATGTCATATTATTTACTAACGTTAGTGGAATATGTGTAATAGATATGAATAAATCCCATGTGTAACATTACTAAGTGCTACACACAGTTTCACACAAGAAAACCAGACACAGAATGACAGATAAAACTACAGTAATAAATTTACTTTTAAATATTAAAGGACCACTATAGTGCCAGGAAAACATACTTGCTCTGAAAAGGGGTAAAAACTTACCTTTTTCCACGGCTGGGCGGAGAGCTCTTCTCCTCCCCGTTGGCTGAATGCACACGCGCGGAAAGAGCTGCGCGCGCATTCAGCCGGTCGCATAGGAAAGCATTCATAATGCTTTCCTATGGACGCTGGCGTGCTCTCACTGTGAAAATCACAGTGAAAATCACAGTGAGAATCACGCAAGCGCCTCTAGTGGCCGTCAATGAGACAGCCGCTAGAGGAAATAGGGGAAGGCTTAACCCATTCATAAACATACCAATTTCTCTGAAACTGCTATGTTTATGAAAAAATGGGTTAACCCTAGCTGGACCAGGCACCTAGACCACTTCATTAAGCTGAAGTGGTCTGGGTGCCTAGAGTGGTCCTTTAAGGATCTGATGATACAACGTAACATTGTATTAAGAGGGTGAAACCAAGACTAAGACTTGTCAAAGTCTAATTTTATGGACAGTCAGACTGAGAAAAGCCTTTGAAGTCTGACAGGTTTTGATGGATGGTTATCCCTAAAAGATAACCAAGATGAAGTCAAACGCACCACGAAATTCAGTTAACCCATTATTCAAGGTGATAACTGGACTTCCTGTGATGTAATTGCGCCATCTACTGACCAAAATCTAGATGATAGTCTGAAAGGAAGACACGCCCACCTTACTCTATTGGTCACTGTCAACTAGTGACGTATAGAGAAATTCTCCTTTAAAAATTAAGGGCAAAGGAGGAAAACACACTCTCTGGAGATGGGACATCTAACATTGAAGATCTGACATCTGGAGCAGGAACGAGTACACACCAAACTTTCTCTATCTCTTCCAATTAATTCTGGGGGGGAAAAAAATCCTAACACTTGTGTCTTCAGTTGAAAACTTTCCTGGCTCCCACAATTCTCATTCATACTTGCATTCACAATTCCTGGAACATGTCTCCAAACCTGATAGAAATTCTACAAAATAACTGGTAATTATGTTGGTTTTTATTTAATTTAAATTAACTAACTTTTACATAAAAGCTGAATATATCTGGGTGAAGGTTGGTCAGGTTTCTAACTTAGAAATCATAATTAATTAAGGAATATATGGTTATAAAAATTCCATTCCTGCAGGTGGAATAATTAAACAATATATTCACTGGTAATTTGCCAAAATTAGAATACTGCACTTTTACCCAGAGACATTTACTTACCTGAATTAGGGATAGTAATCTTTAACTAGGAAAGCTAAAATTCTGCATATGGTAAAATCTGGTTATAATAACTCTTATGGGATGAGAAGGAATCTTTAAATGATTTGGTATTAGAAAGATTATATTTTCAATTGCAACATAAAAGGGTATCTTGCCTATGAGAATTGTAGCCAATAGTGAGAAGTAACTCACTGGCAGCTAAAAGTTTTATTGCTCTATGCTGCACTGTTGTGAGAGAGACACCGTGAAAAGCTCTGTTTAAAGGAATTTCAAGTTGATGATGTGTAAGGAATTGCATCAATGATTTAAAAGTGCTGTGTCATAAATCTTGTTGAAAACTGCATACATGTCGATAAAATGTTGCTAGATTGAACTGTAAACAGTGTTAAACCATTGCCATATTGCATTGTATAATTAAGTTATACCTAAATATTCACTGATTATTGTCACGCATGTTACATATTATTATTGCCACAATAAATTATATTTTTATTAGTTTGTGATTAATGTGTGAAATAAAAATCCTCTAATAAAAAGAATTCCAGGGTCTATAAGAGTTAAAAATAGTGGATAGTTCTTAGCTTTAAATAAATTAGGGAGAACAGTACCAATATATCAATTTTTGATATTTTTTATAAAAATATTATTTTTAATATTTATCACCCCATAAATATCCTCACACGATCAGACAGCCACTAGAGGGATTTCTGGTTTGAAATGGACCTTTGCTCTGGTATCTGACGCTTGAAGTCCTCACGCTCTGCATGAGGACCTCCAGCGACAGATTTTTTTCCCCATCGGAAAACATTGATTACAGCTTTCCTATAGGGAAATCCTAACGTGAGCGCGGCCATTGCCGTGTATGCACATTAGATCTCCCCCGCCAGCTGACGGTTGGGTAGGAGCGTGGGCTAAGCCTGACCCAGTGCTGAGGGACATCGGCACTGGATTCAGGTAAGTGACTGAAGGAGTTTTAAGGGATTTGTTTTCCTGGCACTATAGAATCCCTCAAACAAATGTGTTAGCTTGTGAGATTGAACAGTTTGGTCTTAATTCAAAGTATAAAGTCTGGAGGCACTGCTCATTCCCTGTGCAATGCCATCTCAACGGTGAAGCAGGATGGTGGTAGCATTATGCTTTTAGGGGTGTGTTTCAGTGACTTGGAAAATAGTCAGGATTAAGGGAAACAAGATACAGCGATATCCATAATGAAAACCTGGTGCAGAGCGCGAAGGACCTGTCTTGGCTGGTGTTTTAATTTCCAACATATCATCACTAACATCACTCCGTTCAGGCGCCAGCATCCCCAGCAGGGCAAATCAGCAATGAGAGCAGGAGAAGCAAGGGCAGACCAGAGGTGGGTTTTTTACATAAGTCCAACACCCACCTCAATTAGATCACCGCAGGGAGTGGAGGGCAGGTATGTAGTGGCATGTTCCCTTTACAAAAAAATAAGATTAAAATTTGTATTTCAATTTGCAAGCATATTATTCACTAAATGCCAAATTTAGCCGTGATCTGAAATCTGACTTGCAAAACTGCACCTAGTGGCTAATGCAGGTCTGGCTAATTCTACATTACTTTTTTCATTTTTGACAACAATCCACCAGAGCACTGCAACTTGTAGTTTACAGACTTTATTGGCTCTGAAGGCACAGTACTGCCTACTTTAACAGCTCTAGTCAATGGAAAACAAGCTTGCATTATTATTATTTTTACACCCATTTTTGTTTTCTGGGACAATCCTCTCTGAAACAATAAGTTCCTAACATAGTGGCAGTACATGAGGGGTTTGTATATCTTCCAATAGACAAGTCAACTGTAAAATAAATCAATCATCAATTCAAATAGTCCCTTCTACCTTCCCCTTAAATACCAGACTTAGGATCGCCGGTATTCTTTCTTGTCTCATTCAGGACGGACCACTGACTGTAAGGTTTTAAAAGTCTGGTGAGACGCAAGGGTTTCTGCTTGGGGACCTGACGATAGTCCTGCTCCGAGATCAGTTACGGAGCAAATGGATTTGCAGCATCTGATGCCATATGGAAGCCGGCTTAGGTAAGAGGCATTCCCGGATGGTTCACCAATAGACGTTTGTATTTCACTCCATTTTCAATTCAAGGCTCTCCCTTTTGTTCTCGCCTCAGCACCAAGAATTTGTACCAAACTTCAAACACCGTTGACAGCAAGGTTAAGAGAAAGAGGAATATCTATAGTGGCTAATCAAAGCAGAATCAAGAAGACAGTGGAAGAGAATATTCACGTCACAAGGCATATTCTCAGAAAACATGGTTGTATTGTCAATCTAAAGAAGTCACAGCTTTTTCAACTTTAAAGATCCAATTCCTGGGTTTAATCATAGATTCCAAAACACCATCACTTTATCTTCATAAGAGACAAAAGATAAAAAGGAAATATTTTTTCTCCAACAAGAACCACATTGCACTATAAGAAAAGCAATGAGTATTCTAGGAACTGTTACATCTTTAATTCCAGCCATCAAGTGGGCGAAATCAGCAATAAGGCCACTCCAATGGTGGATCTTATATCATTGGACAATAAGGAACGAAGATCTGGATTTTAAATTCAGCTCGTCATTACCAATCCGGGTCCAGTTGAATTAGTGGAAGCAGTCAAGATTCCGTCAGGGTCTGTGGAATCAAGAGGAAGCAAATTATTCATTCAATTACAGAGAACTCAAGGCAGCTTGGTATACCCTGAAAGCGTTTAAATTCTGGAATTTGAACAAAAAAGTGAAGAGCACGACAACTGCACCACGGTAGCCTATCTCAATCATCAAGGCAGAACAAGGATCAAAGATCTGCAAAGATAATGGTGTGGTCACCATCGACCGATATTGATTTTTTTAGAGCCGATACCGATAATCTGTGAATTTTCAGGCCGATAGCCGATAATTTGCCGATATTCTGTACATTTACCATTTTGAAAAAATAAACTAATTCTAAAGGTAAATGCACAAAATATACATGCCACATGTAGTGTGTTTAGACAGGGGAGCTGTGTATGTTTGTGTAGTGGATTCAGTGTGTATTTGTGTAGTGTGTGTATATAATGAATGCAGAGTGTGTTTGTGTAGTGTGTATAGTGAATTCAGTGAGTATTTGTGTAGTGTTTATATAGTGAATGCAGTGTGTGTGTTTGTGTAGTGTGTATAGTGAATGCAGTGGGTGTGTGTGTTTGTATATAATGCAGTGTGCGTGTTTCTGTGTATATAATGCAGTATTTGTGTGTATATAATGCAGTGTGTGAGTGTTGTGTGTATATAATGCAGTGTGTGTGTTTGTGTAGTGTGTGTATATAATGCAGTGTGTTTGTGTAGTGTTGTGTGTATATTTCAGTGTGTGTGTATATAATGCAGTGTTTGTATATAATGCAGTATGTGTGTGGTTGTGTAGTGATGTAATTTGTGTAAAATGGGGGGGGGCATTTCTTTATTTTAATTATTAAAAAAAATAAAAAATATTTAAATGTTTTTTGTTTGTTTAGTCCCCCCTCCCTGCTTCTTACCAGGAGAGGGGGGATATAGTATTCCCTGGTGGTCCACTGGCTTGTTAAGTACTGGGGGGGCCAGCAGCAAGCAGTTTCTTACCTTTCCAGCAGCATCTCCAGTGTAAAGCTCGTGGACCTTAGTGACGCGCGGAGCGTTGCCATGGTAACCTGTGGCAACGCTCTCCGGCCGTGGGACTCATGAGATTTGACTGGGTAGCTGGAGGAGCTGCTGGAAAGGTAAGAAACAGCTTCCTGCCGCCCTCTCCCCCCACCCAGGACCGCTGGGCTTATAATGAGCCCGGCGGTCGTGGGAGGTATTATCGGCAATAGCGGTAGATACCGATATTGCTGAAAATACCAAATATGGGCCGATTATATCGGTAAAACCGATAGTCGGTGGATCCCTCGTGGTCACAAGAAAATCTGGATTCCCTCGCAGCAGTCCACATAAAATGCAAAGAAAATATTGAACAATCTCAGCAGGAATCAGTGGTCTCCAACAAACTGGTTTGTACAGCCACATATTTTTTCAAAAATAGTGCAACGATTCGGTCTTCCTGTAATAGACCTCATGGCAAGAAAAATTAACAGAAAGGTTTCTGTGTTCGCGTCGCTTTTCAGACAAGACAATCCACATTTTCTTGACCATAAGTCAATCCTCTGGCATTTCATTATTGCATACCTGTTTCGTCAAATTCCATTGATTCCGAAGGTACTTCAGAAGATCAGAGCAGACCGGGCACGAGTTCTTGCTTTCCTTCCTTATTGGCCGAAGAGGAGTTGCTTATCGGCATTAAGACAAATGGCGCTAGAATCTTGGGAACTTTGCGTCTCGGGATCGTCTTTTGGAGATTGTCCATCTTCCAGAGAAAATGCTTCAAATGTTCAAATTGACGGCTTGGCTGTTGCAAGGCTAATTTTACAAAGTAAACGAATACCGGAAAATCTGTTCAGTGCAATTCTAAATTTTACTAGAAAATCAACAGGGGAGTGAAAAAATCTTAACATAAGGGATAGTCTCCAACAAAAAGACCCCAGATAAGGAGCTAAAATGCCTCTAAGGAAAGCTATCTCCCACTAAGTGGTATACCTCTAGAGAACAAGGGACGTGGGGCACTACTACCACCCACAACTACTCAAACAAGGTTCCCTACTAGTAGGAATAAAAGTTATAGTCAAGGTCTAGGGGTGACTTAAGAGTCAGCACACATATTTGTCCTTATTTACCTCGGCACCGCACAAGGCTAGTGCCTACTTGCACTGAAATTCCCTCAAAGATAATTCCATTCAAAAGTGCATAGTGCTACCTAAATGTGAAACAAGGTGTATAAAATAAAACAAAAAATGAATGCCAGATGTGCTTTTCGGCGTGTTAATACACAGTCGTCAGGGGCAGAATGACCTTACCCTTGGTCTGTGCTGAATAAATATCATCCTTAATTAGCCACCTCTAGATAAGCCAATTGTTAATCCTTGCTGGCCAATCGGCTTACGAAGGGAGCGGGATTGAGAGGATTTTTTTTACCTCTATTTATTTAATGGTTATCCCCTATTAGCAAACCCAGTCTAGGTCACCTTCACTTGGATAGGGAGCAGGATGAAGGGGTCCGTTCCTACTCATCTGCAAGGAGTGGGAACAGGATACCTACTTGGTCCCAATCTTCTGCCTTTTCTTCTTTATAAATATCTTAAATCATGCAATGTTCCTTTGTCTTTTCCTATTAGAACCCATTCGACTAGGACCATGTCTACATCCTGAGCTGAAAGATCCAACACTTCTCCTGAAGACTTTTGCAAAGCAGCAGCCTGGTCCTTATTTCATATGCTTATAAAGCACTATTGACTAGAGATCTTTTCATCCTCTGAAGCTGCTTTTGGGTGTAAGGTGCTTCAAGCTTTTTATATCTCCACAGGTACTGCCACTATATGTTAGGAAAAACTGAAATTTTACTTACCGTAAATAATTTTTTCCTTACTATAGTGTCAGTATGATGCCCTCCCTATATTGATAATACATATATATTGAGCATGGAATGGGTTCTTGTGTTTTCTTATCATATACTGGAGATTCTGTGGGTAAGTCCGGTGTTTAAGGGGAACGTAGGTAACAGGGACTATTTAAATTTATGATTGATATATGTTAGTCGGCTTGTCTATAAGACGATATACAACCCCACAGGTACTGCCTCTATATTAAGAAAAGAATTTTCGGTAAGTAAAATTTCTAAAAACTATTGATTTATACACAACATTTATTTGCGGTTAACTATGATAATTTCATTCTAGTAAACAGTTTTATATGCTACAATTTTAACTATCAGCCAATGGTACTCATAGCCCATTAGCATATGCCAAGCACTGAAAGAACACATAAGAGACACCTGTGTAATCAAATCCTAGTGTACGTGTGCAGTGAGTTTTGTTATCTGCCCAAAAAGTTGTTGAAACAGATTGAAAAGGTTTTTTTCTTTAAGCTTTAGATCCAAAAGTGATAATTTTTAATGTATGAATTAACCATAGTTAAGACACATACTTGGGAATCCTGAACATTAGCTATAAAGGTTTGGTCATACTCTAGCTAGAATCTTAGCCTTTAGCCCATTCTGTCCCATATCTGTCCATCTTGCCCAATGTCCATCATATTTTTAAAATCTCTTCTCCTGTTTTTCTGCACTTATTGAATTATAAAAAAATTTAAAGTCTGTAATTGGAAGTCTGTAATGGGACAGCCGATGCAAGTCTAAGCTGGGTTAAAAGGAAAGACTTACAAAGGCTTTCAACAAGAGATTTGCTGCTTTTGTAAGCTGTTTTTAAGATATAGCTCAATGAGAAAAATAATGCATAATTAAAGGAACACTATAGAGAATGGGTGTCTAACCCGCGGCCTGCATGCGACCCGGTTGCCGTCCGCACTGCTGGGCAGAGAATGAGGCAGGGAGCCCATTCAGTGGTGTAGGGAGCAGCAGGAGGAGGAGGAATGCGGAGGTGCACAATAACGCGCTGTCCACATGCTCCGCCCTCACGGTGTTCTGAGCAAAAGCACTCTGACAGTCTGTGCAGGCGCCACGGCGGCGGGAGAGTCTGGAGTCCGGATCACCAGGGAGCAGCAAACAGGCGGAGGAGCAGGGTAAATGCTTGCTATTATTGTGTTTTTTTAATTCTTTTTTGTGCAAGGGTCTTGAGAGGGAGAGGTTTTTTTTGTAAATGGGTTTTGTAGGTGGATAGGGGTCTTTGTACAGGGGAAGCAGGAGTTTTTGTGAAAGGGGATTTGTAGGGAGTGATCAAAGGTCTTGTAGAGGCCTGGGCAGGGGTTTTGTAGACGGGAGTGACTGGGCAGGGGTGTTGTAGAAGGGAGTGACTGGGCAGGGGTTTTGTAGACGGGAGTGACTGGGCAGGGGTGTTGTAGAAGGGAGTGACTGGGCAGGGGTTTTGTAGACAGGAGTGGCTGGGCAGGGGTTTTGTAGACAGGAGTGGCTGGGCAGGGGTTTTGTAGACAGGAGTGGCTGGGCAGGGGTTTTGTAGACAGGAGTGGCTGGGCAGAGGTTTTGTAGACAGGAGTGGCTGGACAGGAGTTTTGTAGACAGGAGTGGCTGGGCAGGAGTTTTGTAGAAGGGAGGACTGAGCAGGGGTTTTGCAGAAAGGAGGACTGAGCAGGGGTTTTGCAGAAGGGAGGACTGAGCAGGGGTTTTGCAGAAGGGAGGACTGAGCAGGGGTTCTGCAGACGGTGGAGAGGTTGTAGAAGTGGGACTGGGCAGGATTTTTTGTAGAGTGGCACGTGTTTTGTAGAAGGGGGGGGAGGGGGATAGAAGTTTTTTTTTTATTGCCGATTACTGTTTTAGTAGGCAATAAAAAATAAAAATTAGAATACAAAAGCTCTAGGTATGCCCCTGAGCCCATTACATTCTGTGCTCCTCTTGCACAGCTTCCTCATCGCCTGACAGTGACCTGTCCGCCAGGATAGGACATCATCCCGGCATCACTGCTGGGCATCGAGGGACCTGTGCATGTAGAGCACATAGGTCCCAGGCTCCATCCCAGCAGCAAGCACTGGCCACCAGGAAGAGGATCCACTCTAGCGCTCCCAGAGCAAGTTAGGGAGGCTGGGTATACCTCTTTAGTATAAAATGTGTATATCTATGTGTATGGTGGTCTGTGATTGATTGTTGGTGTACTCATGTGATTGTGTGTGGGGTCTGTGTGTGTACAATTGTGATTGTGTGTATGTATGTGACTTATTTTGTGTGTTTGTATTTGTGCGTATAGGTCTGTAATTGTATATGTGTGTCGGTGATTATGTGTATATAGGTCTGTGATTGTGTGTATCTGTGGTTATGTGTGCATACATATACACACACACACACACACACGTGTATGTGTTTAGTCAATAGCTCCCTAATTTGATATCCTTAACTATGCCAATCCCACACAAGGATAACAAATAAGGGAGTTATCTACTAAACAATTGAAATATCAAAATTAAGAAAAGGGCTTTTAAAGAGATTACTTATATACATTATCTATAATCTATATTATATATTTAATGTTTTGCCCAAGACAATTCCTCTGCGCTCAATGCGGCCCAGGGAAGTCAAAAGGTTGGACACCCATGCTACAGAGTCTAAAAAACACGCACACACATACATACATACATACATACACACATTATATATATATATATATATATAAATAAAAAAACAACAACATTTATCCCCCCCCCATGCCCCCTAAAATCTTACTTTTATTGCAGCTTGCTGGTGCTGGCTCTGCCTGCTTGGCTGACATCATCAGAAGTGTTCTCAGCCAATCACAATCCTTTCCCAGAGGAAAGAATTGGATTGGATCAGATGGTCAATGAGGCAGATCAGAGGCAGAGCCAGCACAAACCAAACACAACCTTGGCAAATTGAACCAATGCATCTCTATGATGAAGGTTCAGTGTCTCCATGCAGCATGTCAGTGCTGCACAGTGGCCACTGGAGTTATACCTAGGCTGTGATGTAAACACATCATTTTCTCTGAAAAGAAAAAAAGCCTGAAGGGACTGATTATACTTACCAGAACCAATACAATAAGCTGTAGTTGTTCTAGTGACTATAGTGTTGCTTTAAATGCACGCATGTTTCCATTTTGGGTATATCCGTGATTACTTTAATTAGGGTAGTCGAGTATCCCTTTTTAGTCTCTTTTCGTATCCCTACTACCACTTATTATATAGTACATACCTCTTTAGTCATCAACCTGGTATCTAAATGCTGCTATTCTACTAAATGTAAGCAAAATATACATGAACAAAATAAATTAATGAACAAAGTATATCTGGCAAACAAAATGAATTAAAAAATTAAAACAGGAAAATTGAAAAAAGTAATAGGTCAAAGTACAGAATTAATGATCTGACATATCTTCGCTCATAGCTTTTAATTAATTAGAAACTGAGCAGAAAAATACATCACACATCTGTCTAACAAGAGGAAATATCTGATTTGTGTGTGACGTGAGACAAACTGACAAATCCCCCCCCCCTCCCCAAAATTTATTTTTCATGGTTCCTTTTGGCTCCGTACAGCATGGGTTATAAGAACACAAACAGGAAACATGCTGCAGGCTGCACAGCTCTCAAGGGCAACACCTCACAATATACATTAAAAATACTTAGAAATGCAACTCCATCGCCCCAAAACTTGGTGAAAACGGGGCTAGAACACATGCATAGTCAGCCCAGGAACCTAGTACAAACCCCCCACCACAAACCCTCCAGCCAAAACACCCAATATTCTTTACATACATCCAGGAGCAGCATGGCGGAAGTGGCTATTACCGTTTAAGTCTTCGGACAGTAATTCATAGAACAAATTCTGCTGCATCCCCCCCACCTCTCCCAACAGAAATAAAATATACATAAAAAACCCAAACAAACAATTTAGCTGGAATGGTAATTGACAAGTTTTACCCCTTTTGAAAATACTGTCCCATACAAATAATTTTTTGTGAGTAAGCTGAAGTGAATTAATGAGAACAAGCAGCAGATTCACAGGTAGTGATAGGAGAGAGATCAAGAACAGAACCAGAAAAATGAAAGTATGGAAAAGTAAACGCAAAAGGAGGAGAAAACAAATGACGACAACAGCACAATAGGAGAGAAATAACATTTGAATTAGGAAAAACACAAGCAAATTCCCCAGATAAACATGATCATCTTCTTTCACATCACAAAGAACAATTTTGTGTCATTTACAAATAAAAATATATATATATATAAAAATAATAAATAAAATGGTTGCTGCTCTGATTTCCTCCATAGATGTACGTCTACAAAATCGCCTTTTGATTCATTGTTTAAAGCCAGTAATTTATAAAACCTGATCTGAATTCTTCTTTTAAATTTTCTTCAGTTATTTCTAGAAATATTTCTTGCAAGGTTGTGAAAGTAGAGAGAATACTAAAGGGCAGTTTCAAGATAGCACCTGGAGCATTATTATTGTTCACACCTGGATGTGTCCCCATTCCGCATCTCTGCCCATGGCATAATTGCTCCTGTTTATTCTTTCTGAAATGTCAATAGTCCATAACCTGTGAACCTCAGAGAGGCTTTCATGTTCAACCATTAGCAAGACATTGTAGAGGGTGTGCATGGTTTGTCCACATATTGTTCGGAGCAGCTTGCTGGCAGTGTCAGTAAATTCCTTGAGACTGATTCAGGCTCTCTACAAATGGCTCTTTTAAAACTTCAAACGCCTGGCTTTCGGAATGTTCTTCAGGCCTGTCGGGACTGGTCACTCTTGGGCGTTTAGCTGTGTCTTCACCCTCTGTGCCATCCAAGGAAGCTCCAGTACTCAGAGACTGCACAAAAGGAGGGTTTATCAATGAACAAGCTAAAAACGCATTACAACATTAATAAAAAAAAAAAACCACCTCCCCTCCCTGGCACCTTACTAGATTTCACATATACAACACAAGTCAGGTTCTATGCTGCCTGCAGTATTCCCTTTCGGGTGCATAAGACTGTTTGTATTTTTATTATACAGACACTATTTATAGAACGTTATAGCTAGATTCAGCAATTTACAATTGTAACAACAGCTTGGAAAACTGTTCTAAAAAGTCATCAATTCCTCCTTACAATAGCTTAACAAAATGATTATTTGTAGAAGATTGGCATCTGAAAATATTAAGTTGACTGCTATACATAAGGAGAAATAGTCCCGTAATTTTCCTTATGTATTTTATGAAACCTGAAGCCCTAAGAATAAAAATTAAGAGAAGCAATAAATAAGCAGATTACATAAATATTCTTTTTGGTGACACTTTAATGTGTTTACAAAAAAAGCAAACCATAACTACCACAAATAACCATAGAACTGATGATACTCACTAGACGACACCTGACTCTTTTCGGCAACTGTTCTTCGAGAGTAAAGATCTCATTGCGTTTTACCATTAACTGAGAGGCATCTTCAAACTCAACCTACATACAGAGGATACCCCCAGAAAGAGTGGGGAAGAGGAGGTTAATAGAAGACAAAATTAGCTATTCATATTCAAAGACAGTTTATGTTATGTAAATCAATATGATAATGTGTTCTATTTCTGAAGGATGTATGTGTCCTTGTATCAGCTTTGTTTCCCTGTGTCCGAGAAATTGCTCACCTGATACACATGGTTGATATTGGATGAGATGAATTTGGCTTTATGCCTATTTCCATCCTTCCATCTCATCTCCAAGAACTGGCCTTCAGATGGTGGCCCATCCTTTACGCAATCCCTGCTCTGAGATGAAAATGTATGAAAGAATGATTAAGAAGAATACTCAGAGAATTAAATATAGATTGAAACAGATGCTGGTTAATGTAGATGGGCAAGAATCCTAAGAAAAAGAAATCCTGTAGTGCAAGACAAGCCAACAATGGCAAAGGGAGGAAATAGAAAGCAAGAGAGATAAGATGGTTTGAGAAATCCAAGGAGGAGGTTCTGGGATAAAGAAATATAGAATTCTAAATGTGATAGAAATCAGATATAATATTAATGTGCTTCATCTTTTCCTTTTACAATAATTCTACTTTTCTGAAACATGTGTATTTACAAATAAATAAAATAAACTATATATATATATATATATATATATATATATATATATACATACATACACACACATACACACACATACATACATACACACACACACAAAAAAACACACACACACATATATATACACATACAAAAAAAACACATACAGAGAACATTAGGGCATGTAATGATTTCACTCACCATGACATTTTCTGGGTACACATTGTTACTATACGATCCGTCATCAAAGTTAACCTCATAGAAAATCTGAGTGGCAGAGCCTATCACCTGACATTTGTAGTACAGTCCATTCCTGTTTCGACTAATAACGGTCTGCCCAACACGGACTTCACGGGAAGAATTCTGCAACAGATAATGGCAAAGACGAAATGTGATGAAAATAAAACTGCATACAGGAATGTGGATTCAAAAAAAAGGGGGCAAAAAAAAGAGGAGAAAGAGTAAGAAAGCAAACACAGGCTGGGCAAAGTAAAAGAAGGAAATACATGAGAAAAGAAGAGACACATGTAAAGGTAAGGCTTGCAGAAAGTGGTAATTGAATTTAGGATGACAGAAACCTCCCCCCCCCCTCCCCCAAATGTAGAAACTCACACTCTCATTTGTTGATCTGTGTTTGAAGCATTTTATTGACACAACATATGGCCAATCATCTGGCTCCACTGAGATGCCAGCACTGTGTGCACAGGTCACGTGAAAAGAAGTTGAACATCGATTAACGGAACACTGAACACATGCTCCTCCATCCTTGCGGATCTTTCTTCGACAGTATACACATTTCTAAATAGGAGGAGAGTTAGTGTTAAACACTGATTTCAAAACTACTGTCACAGATTAAAGATACAGATAATCTCTCCCCTGCACACAAAAAGGGTTATTCTCTAAAGTGAGAATTCAAAGTAAATTTCAAATATAAGGTCAAAATAGCTAAACTGGAAAAATCATCTAAATTGGCTATTAAGAGTTTTAAATTTGCAATTTGCTTTGAAAGCTCACCTTGGTAAATAACCCTGAAAGTGGTGAATCTTTTCCAGCACCATGTCCAACAATGTGTGTTTTCTTACCAATTTGCATCTCTGCTCAGGAATGGCAGAGACATCTACTGGATGTCGCTCTACTGCACTCACAAAGCGAGCTTCTGGGACTGCAACAGCACACACAATGTGAACCCACCTAAAGAATAGTGCAGAAGTGACAGTAGACAAAGCAGAAAACAGTTATAAGGATCAGCGAAAACAGTCAGGTTTACACATGGTACATGTGAGCAGAGAAAGAAAAATAAAACTGTGGGGAGGGGGAGGCTAACAGGTCAAGGGAATAGCTAAACGTGAAGGTCTTATGACCAGAACATACGTTTCTTCATTTGCTTTAGTTTGTGTTTTGTAACATTAAAGTTATAACCTTTCTGCATTAGTTTAAGTATGTGAAATATATTTAAAGCAAAAAAAAAAAAAAAAACACAACAAACCAAAAAAAGCACTAATAATATTTTGGTTCTTGTAAAATCAATTCATAGTTGACTAATCAGAAATTCAGAAGTTATATATAAAAATAAATGGAAATTAGCAGTTGGACATTAATAGTATACGACCAAAAAATGTTTTACATGTTGTGCATAATATCGCATACCAAAATAGATGGAGGAAACAAGTTTGGTAATAAGAGTAAGAAAAATTATTACAAAATAATAATAAGGAAAAGATTTTAACAATTTGTGAGTATTTAACAAACATTAATACAAACACAAAATCTAGTATCTTGTTACTGATCTCAAAAAATATGTGCCAAATATAAATTGGTTTAATTTCTTGGCATTCACTATTGTTTTAAAATACTCAACCTTTTTTTTTTTAAAGGGGCATTCTATGCAACATAGCCACTAAGCCAAGTGGCCCTCATTCCTATGGCACTAATCAAACAGTTAAAAAAACAGATTCAGAGTGACCAAAAACCTTCTCTGAGCAGAGACCACATATATAATGCAGAACAAACACTTCTGAAAGATCAATGTCAATATCAACCAACCTAAGGGATGTTGATTGACTGAAGACCTGGGATTGTGGATTATAAACATATGAATGCATCAAATGAGACTGAAATTCAACAGTTTAACAAACACAAAGAAATGAAACTCGGGGTCTTTAAGGTGTTAAATTGCATGCTTAGTGACTACTGACTTGCACAGTCAATGCTTTTTGTAATGCACAGTCAATGCTTTTTGTAATACACAAAAGACACTGAATAATACAGATATCATTTTTTTTGTTCTGCACACAAGTGCAAAATGTATCCAGGTTTCGTCAACTCGAAATTGGTCGGGAAATAAAAGGGACATTATAGTCACCAAAACCACTACAGCTTAATGTAGTGGTTGTAGGGGACAATGCTTGTTCTTTAAGGCTTAGAATTGCAAATGCTGCCTTTTCACTATGACAGCCCCTAGAAGGTCTTACTCAATGAGGTTCTGCAACCTTTGCAGTACCTATGTTCAGAATCTCTGTGCAGTGCATGAAGACACCGAACGCTCGCCATAGAGATGCACTAATTAAATATACCTCTATGAGGAGATGCGGATTGGTGCAGATTTCTCTACAAATTGAATTGCTTTAGCAATTTGAAATGGTCATTTAGGATTGTCCCTCTCTCAAGGACACAACATTTAAAAAACAGTCACACCTACCTATTGTCTGTTGTTTTCTGTAAAGCTCCTCCTCTGAGATTACACAGACAGCAATCCTGCATGAAACAAACATTAAGACTGGAGAACACTCTTCCAATACTAAACAGACAAATCTACACACGCAGCATGCCAATTTAATTTAGGTCTCAATAAATGGAAATTGATAAGGCTATTGTCAATTTTAGGACAAAGAGATGACGATGGTGAAATTATCCCAAATCAGCTACTTTGGTCTCAGAATTTCCTAGTGGGTTTAATGATTACTCCTGCTTATTAGAACACTGTCATACACATCACCCCTTCACTCTCTCATTTTCCAATACTCACTGCAGCCCAAGCAGAAGCAGTGCAGCGTGAGCAAGTCCAGTTCTCTTTTACCAAATCTGGATGGACACCATAACAGCCTGGAGATGAAAAAAATATCACCAAGGAAATTACATGAGCGGCCACAGGGTTTAAAAATATATGGAAAATGTTAAGTGGCACGAGCAGTGTATCAAGCGGGTCATTTGATTATTACAACACTCACTGGCATGGACCTGTACACAACAATTGGTACAGGACAGCAACGGGCTGGTACCATCCTCTCCGGTATAAGTGCTAATTGGCAGAGGGTCCACATTGCTTTCACTGGAGGTAAAGCACATTTCTGGAATAAGTGGCTTTGTACTTTCACCTCGTTTCGACATTGGGATGAAGGAATCTGGTACAGGGGTTGAATCCTAAGGACAAAATTATTACATCAAAAATGAAGGTTAAAGTGGAATAATAGGAAACAGATGGAAAGATGAGATAACAGTGGTAAAAGGAAGAGGCTCACTTGTTGCAAGTAGGTTAAAAAAAAAAAAAAAATACATTATGGAGAAGTTACCTGACGGTATGGAGAAAAGAGCGAGCACACGGCGCAGTGAGGCTGGATCAGAGCAACTGCAGCATTGAATTTTCTCTCAGCTGCAAAGTTGGGAGATTTATTTTTCCACAGGTGGGAGAGAAGATTGAGTAGAGCTTCAGGGACACTAACATCTTCCTCACCTGAGAAAGGGACAGATTCTGAAATGAAGATTGTAAAAAGAGGAAAGAGTTCATGGAATTTTTTCCTGGCAAGCATTGACTTCTCCACTTAAGGGTTGTGAATTGAAGTGGTCATGGTGGTAGGGATCTTGTATACTTAGCACTTCTGCTTGTAACACTGGACATCCAGAGAGATACAGGGTTTTCAGAGAGAGAATTCATGATGAATTAAAATTTTATGGCCAAAGTAGGTGAACTGGAAGCACAGCTCTTTTGGAGAAGTATTCCAGTATGGCTAGTCTGAACTTAAATGTGAAATTCACATTAAATTCTCACTTTAATCACTTCTGTGCTAGGGGCTTGAAAGGGCCAGAAAGATAAGTCACTCACCTTCATCACTAGACACTTCCTGTTTAACAACTGTCATAGGGGATCGGGCAGGAGGTCTTCCTAGTGGGTGACGTCTACTCTTCTTAATTTCCATTTTTGGAAACAGGATAGGAACCTTAAAAAAAATCAATGAAATTACATCAAACTTTGGGTAAACACTGAAAAATTACGGATGCATGTTATATAAAAAAAAAAGTCACATCACATGCCTTAGTCTCTTCTTGGGACCTGCTTGCAGGGACCTCCTCCTCTTGGGATTTTCCTTCAGATTCTCTCTGGCTTCCAGACTGTCTCTTCCTTGTGGCAAAGCTTTCAAATGCTTCTTGGCACGACATCCGTGTTTTGTCAAAAACAACCTTCTTGGCCTGAGGAACAACATAAAGTGTGGGGATGATGGGACGAGGCTTGAATTCGTAATTTGCAGAGAGGTCCAAGGGCCCTCTGATGAACGAGGCAAAGCTGCCAATATCTGGGGTATTTAGAAGATCTACTGGCAGGTGGTTTACACCTGATCCCTCTCCCACCTGCTGTTCTTTTTTTCTACGTCTCTCGCCCTTGGGTTTCGATACACGGGAACGGCACTTCATGTCACCCATCAGTTGATCTGTCACAAAAAGACCAAAAATTAAATAAACAAACTCGCACATACAGAATTGGTTTCAAATAACATGTGAACTCTAAAGCTACTTTACTTGATATTTTCGGTGGATCCAGCTCATGCTTCTGTAGTACTAAAGGATTACAAATCTATGCCATGTTTAAACTAAATTTACTTGTACTTTGTATTAATTCTGGAGAACTCATAATGATTTACCATTTTATCCATTTGAAATACAGCAATCACTGGCAACTACAGCTTAATGCTGTTTTTGTCTCCCTCCTATGTACCTGTTGTGCCTAATCATTAGTTTCATGAAGCATCAATACCCAAAAAGTAATAATCAATACTCAATAAGGTTTAAAGCGATATTGGCGGCCACACAACCCAATTCAGGATGAGTATCTTGAAAAATAGCAAAGAGAATCACACAGAGACCTAGTTGAATATAATAACATCACACTTTATTGCCCATAAGGGGATCCAATAAAATATAGGTTGTACTCTAATTTAGGTTATTGCATGAATTCACATCAAACAGCTTAAGTATCTAGATAGCCTAGTATAGGTCACCATTAGAGAAGCTTGGTTGTCACTCTGCTGACTGGGGGGGAACTCTGGCAGTCAGGCTTGGAGGTACCCTCTCCACTTGGAACAGCAACACGCGTCCGTATTACAGGTGGGTAGTTCTCCAAGTGAGTACCAAGTTTCACCATCTCTTATACCTTTTAAATAGAGTGGGCAGTGTGTACTTTTCCACCAAGTTTCTTATCAGTGCAGCCCAGCTAAGACCTGTCACGAGCGCCGGATGGGACTGGCAGCTGACCAGGCTGTTCAGGACCAATGACGCCATTTCATGTCAGTGCGGTTAGCTTATCTCTTATCTATCGCCTAGCACTATACTATTTTCGTGATGTTATGCAGCCCCTCGATGTTGAGTCATGCTGATACTGTGTTTTGTGGCTTTATACAGTTTTATGCTGTGTCATGCCTGCCAGCTTAATGAATAGCTGTGACATCCAGGCCTGTATGTTCTTATGCTTATATTATCAGGTTTGCTCAATAGTCATCAATCAATTCCCAATATTATGACTTCAGTACCTTCATTACATCCTTTGCTGGACTCCTCCTCTTCATCACACTTCATGTCCTCATCCTCTCTCCCCTCCAGCATCAAGTCAGATCCAAGCACCTCCCTGAGCAATGACTGATCTTGCGTTTTGTGTCTGCGTGGCTGGGACCGTTTCTTATAGGGCCTAAAAAGAAGCAAACAGAAGATAAGATGTTCAAGTATTACACAGTATTTTTTTGCACATATAACAGGGAGTACAAGGACTAATAACTATGCAAAGCACCCAAATGAGAAATGTACACAATATGTAAAAATGTAAAGATAACTGGAATACACAGAAAACGACATTCCGAAGGTATTACAGAGAGTCAGTCACTGTCCAGTATGCTTCCAGGACAGGAAAGAAATGGCCTTCACAGTACCTGCGGCCAACTTTCCCCTTAAATTGCGCTCTTCTTTCTCTCCAAGCCTCCAATTCAGGACTGCTGAGTTCGGTGGGTTTTAGATGATCTAGAACGGTGGTATCTTTTCCCTGCTTCCACACCTCATACCGGTCAGGTTGCAGAAATTTCACAAACACATCCATGGAAATCTTCACCATGTCTTTCCTACATGTGCACTGTGAGCATTGAAAGTCTAGTAAGATTATGGTGGAGGGGGAGTGGAAATACTACAGAGAATGATGATTATACACATGGGCAAACATTTGCTACAAAAGTTCAATTTAAATAGTGATGAGTTTAAGAAAAAAAAAAAAAAAAGACATATGATTAATAAGAAAAATGCAGATGAGGGAATGGATCATCACTATTCCCTTACCTGTGTTGCCATCTTTCCATAATCAATCCAACGTAGTGTGGCAAAATTGGTTGATTCAGCACAGTTGAATCCATGGTTAAATCCTGCATGGTATCCATATGGGAATGTGATCATGAACTCACCTGCCTCTTGAGTAATCTAGAAAAGTGAAGCAGTAATGGAATTAGCATTGGATATAAGCAAAGGTTTTCAAATTGAATACTTAACTGCATTCACCATAAAGCTCACCCGGTCAAAAGGAATTCCATATTTCTTTAGAATTGATGGAGAAATCAGAGTCATTTTGTGACGTAGGAAAGCATCACACCCCTGAGAGCTACCTGGGAAGAACCCTGGACAGATAGACATTAAACAGAACCATTTTTGTTGTTCTTTAACTGAATTCAAATTAACTTTGAAATATAAGAGGCAAAAGTTATTTTTATGGGGAAAAGACAAAGCAAAAAAAAAATTACAAAAATTACCATCTGACAGAGAGTGGAGACTGCAAACTTACAATACAATTGGCACATTCCTCAGGTATGATTACCAAATAAAGATAATAATAGTGTATGTACACCACCCCCCCCTCCCCTAGAGACATCAGGTATGTGGAATACAGGATCAAACCAGGTAAAACCATTGTGAGTATGGGGGATATTATCTGGAGTGTTATAAGTCTGCACAATAATGACATGTGATAAAATCTGTGTTTTCATTGACACAAAGGTACATAAAAGCAGTGAGCCTGATGGTTATTCAGTAGATAAACTGCCAGACATTAGCTCTATTACTGAAAAAAAAAAAAAAAAAACATTCCCAGACAGAGGCATGTTTTCAGAGTATCAAACATATTCATTAGCTTACATTATCAGGGATTCTTTCTTGCAAGTTTCCTTAGAGTAGAAGAGGATGAAAATACTATCCCAATAGGGACAGAGGACATGCTACAATGACCTACCAATAGGGGGTAACCCAGCAAAGTACATACAAGGGTAATAACTATAGTCTAAGATGCCTAGGCACATAAGACCAAAGTAGGTCCCTCAGTATAAAAGAACAAGGTTTATAAATTAAACTTTCTTGAATAACTCAGATCTACTCTTTTGAGTAGAAACAGTTGCACACTGGTATTCTGTTTTTTTTTATTTTTGTTCTGGTCAATGATGGTTGAGATCTGTTCAGCACTGGCTAGTATAATTAGGTGCCAATAAAACTTACAGAATTTCCAGGTTAGACCCATGTTTCTATGAGTGTAGTATGCAAATTACTGGTTATTTTTATGTTAATGGTTCTGTAATCAAGTATGTCTTACCTTTTGCTAGGCGCTCTAGCCGCTTGCCATGTTCAGGCGGGATTGCATACCTGTAAATCGTAGAAAACCAAAGATAGTGCGTATAAAAGAATACATAAATATGTATGCAAGTACGTCCAGAATTCTAAAATGAAGCTATAACAGATTTTTAACTGGCAACTGAGAGTCATTTCTACAGTCTCCAATATTTGCAAGAATTACTTTATATTACAGTAAAGTCAATGTGTCCTATTCTTATGATAAAACTAAATCAAAAGTACAGGTTCATCTCAACCGGCAGTTTTTCTACAGATTCTTCAGTTTAATATTAAGTAGCAGTGGGATGCCAGGCAAAGTAGTTTCTTAGACAGTTTCTGTTATGAAATTATTTGTTTGAACTGTGAAAAGATAAAAGTGCTTTTCATATTTCATCGATGCAATCTCTCCTTAGAATGTGCATTGAACAACATGCACTGTAAATTTTATACATGTGATTATGGTTGGGCTAAGCTATTATCATTTTAACCCCTTAACGACTTACAGGAACACTATAGTCACCTAAATCACTTTAGCTAAATAAAGCAGTTTTAGTGTATAGATCATTCCTCTGCAATTTCCCTGCTCAATTCACTGTCATTTAGGGGTTAAACCACTTTGTTTCTGTTTAGGCAGCCCTAGCTACACCTCCCCTGGCTATGATTGACAGAGCCTGCATGAAAACAAAAAACAAAAAAAAAACTGGTTTCACTTTCTAACAGATGTAATTTACCTTAAATAATTGTATCTCAATTGAACTTTAATCACATACAGGAGGCTCTTGCAGGGTCTAGCAAGCTATTAACATAGCAGGGGATAAGAAAAATCTTAATTAAACAGAACTTGCAATAAAGAAAGCCTAAATAGGGCTCTCTTTACAGGAAGTGTTGATGGAAGGCTGTGCAAGTCACATGCAGGGAGGTGTGACTAGGGTTCATAAACAAAGGGATTTAACTCCTGAGGCTGCAGGGGCATGTTCTATATACCAAAACTGCTTCATTAAGCTAAAGTTGTTCAGGTGACTATAGTGTCCCTTTAAAGGCATACAGGTGTTACTCTAAAAATTAGAACATCGTGCAAAAGTTCATTTATTTCAGTAATGCAACGTAAAAGGGGAAACTAATATATGAGATAGATGCGTTACATGCAAAGCAAGATAGTTCAAGCCGTGATTTGTCATAAGTGCGATGATTATGGCTTACAGCTCATGAAAACCCCAAACCACAATCTCAGTAAATTAGAATATTACATGCAATCAATAAAACAAGGAGTGTACATAGAACAATATCGGACCTCTTAAAAGTATAAGCATGCATATGGACTCAGTACTTGGTTTGGGCCCTTTTTGCAGCAATTACTGCCTCAATGCGGAGTGGCATGGAAGCTATCAGCCTGTGGCACTGTTGAGGTGTTATGGAAGACCAGGATGCTTCAATATCGGCCTTCAGCTCTTCTGCATTGTTCGGTCTCATGTCTCATCTTTCTTTTGGCAATGCCCCATAGATTCTCTATGGGGTTCAGGTCAGACGAGTTTGCTGGCCAATCAAGCACAGTAATCCCACGGTCATTGAACCAGGCTTTGGTGCTTTTGGCAGAGTGGGCAGGTGCCAAGTCACGCTAGAAAATTAAGTCAGCATCCCCATAAAGCTCGTCTGCGGAAGGAAACATGAAGTGTTCTAAAATCTCCTGGTAGACGGCTGCATTGATCCTGGACTTAATGAAGCACAGTGGACCAACACCAGCAGATGACATGGCTCCCCAAATCAACACAGATTGTGGAAACTTCACACTGGACTTCAAGCATCTTGCACTGTGTGCCTCTCCATTCTTCCTCCAGACTCTGGGTCCTTGGTTTCCAAATGAGATGCAAAAGTTGCTCTCATCTGAAAAGAGGACTTTGGACCACTGAGCAACAGACCAGGTTTGTTTTTCTTTAGCCCAGGTAAAACACTTCTGACGTTGTTTGTTGTTCAGGAGCAGCTTGCCAAGAGGAATACGACATCTGAAGCCCATGTCCAGGATCCATCTGTGTGTGCTGGCTCTTGATGCACTGACTCCAGCCTCAGTCCACTCCTTGTGAAAGTCCCCAACACTTTTGAATGGCCTTTTCCTGACAATCCTCTCCAGGTTGCGGTCATCCCTGCTGCTTGTGCACCTTTTTCTTCCACACTTTTCCCTTCCACATAACTTTCTATCAATATGATTTGATACTTTGGGAACATCCAACTTCCTTCGCAATTACCTTTTGAGGTTTTCCCTCCTTATGGAGGGTGTTAATGATGGTTTTCTGCACAACTGTCAGGTCAGCAGTCTTCCCCATGATTGTGATTCCTACTGAACCAGACTGAGTGACCATTTAAAGGCTCAGAAACCCTTTGCAGGTGTTATGGCTTACTTAGCTGATTAGAGTGGGACACTGTGAGCCTAGAATATTGCACCTTTTCACAATATTCTAATTTACTGAGATTGTGGATTTGGGGTTTTCATGAGCTGTAAGCCATAATCATCGCACTTATGACAAATCACGGCTTGAACCATCTTGCTTTGCATGTAATGCGTCTTTTTCATATATTAGTTTCCCCTTTTACGTTGCATTATTGAAATAAATGAACTTTTGCATGATATTCTAATTTTTCGAGTATTACCTGTAGTTAAATCTCTACCTCACACTGGGGAGACCTATGAATCAATCGATACCTGCAGCTCCTATCTGTCTTTTGGGGCCATTGTTAGTCACCCCTGACAGATGAGTTGTATGCAGAGCTCAAAGTTGTTGTGCCTAATCATTAGATCCATGAAGTATAAAATATCCAGTAATAATCAATACTTATAAGGTCTAAAGCGATATTGGGGGGCACACAACCCAATTCGGTATGAGTATCTTGAACAATAGGAAAGAGAAATCACACAGAGACCTAGTTGAATATAATAATTCACATCACACTTTATTGTCCATAAAGTAACCCAATACAATATAAGTTGTATTCATTTAAGTTATTGCATGCATTCACATCAAACAGCTTAAGTATCTAGATATCAGCTTAAGTATACATCACTATTAAAGAAGCTTGGTTGTCACTCAGTTACAAACGACTGGGGAAACTCTGGCAATCAGTTTGGAGGGACCCTCTACTGGGAACAGCAGAACCAGCAACACGTGTCCGTATTACAGGTGGGTAGTTCTCCAAGTGAGTGTCAAGTTTCACTGTTTCTTATACCTTTCCAAAAGAGTGGGCAGTCTGTACTTTTCCACCGAGTTTCTCATCAGTGCAGCCCAGCAAAGACCTGTCATGAGTGGCGGTTGGGACAGGCAGCTGGCCAGGCTATTCAGGACCACCAATGACGCCATTTCATGCCTGTGCGGTTAGCTTAGTTCTTATCTATTGGCTAACACTATACAATCTTCGCAGCCCCTCGATATCGAGTCAGGCTGATGCTGTGTTTTGTGGCTTTATACAGTTTTATGTTGTGTCATGCCTGTCAGCTTAATTAATAGCTGTGACATCCAGGCCTGTGTCTAGTGACACTGCCTGTACGTGCTTATGAGACTAGCACCATCTTGTATTAATATCAGGTTTGCTCAGGAGTGATCAATCAATTCCCAACATTATTAATTCAAAAGTGAGCATGCCCAACTGTGCTGACTGTGATTGGTGCTGGATATATATTAGGGATCGACCGATATTGATTTTTTAGAGCCGATACCGATACCGATAATCTGCGAACTTTCAGGCCGATAGCCGATATCTTGCCGATATTCTGTACATTTACTATTTTGAATAAATAAACTAATTCGAAAGGTAAATGCACAAAATATACATGCCACATGTAGTGGATGAAGTGTTTTTAGACAGGGGAACTGTGTGTGTAGTGGATGCAGAGTGTGTGTTTGTGTAGTGTGTGTGTGTAATGAATGTAGTGTGTATATAATGCAGTGTGTGTAGTGTGTATATAATGCAGTGTGTTTATGTATTGTCTGAGTATAATGCAGTGTGTTTTTGTGTGTGTATGTAATGCAGTGTGTGTGTTTGTAGTGTGTATGTGTGTATGTAATGCAGTTTGTATGTAATGCAGTGTGTGTTTGTGTAGTGTGTATGTAATGCAGTGTGTGTGTGTGTAATGCAGTGTAGTGTGTGTGTCTGTAATGCAGTATGTGTGCAGTGTGTGTTTGTGGTGTGTGTGTCTGTAATGCAGTGTGTGTGTGTCTGTGTAGTGTGTGTATGTAATGCAGTGTGTGTGTGTCTGTGTAGTGTGTGTATGTAATGCAGTGTGTGTGTGTCTGTGTAGTGTGTATGTAATGCAGTATGTGTGTATGTAATGCAGTATGTGTGCAGTGTGTTTGTGTGTGTGTGTGTGTGTAGTGATGTAATGTGTGTAATTTTTTATTTTAATATTTAAATGTTTTTTTTGTTTAGTCCCCCCCCCCAGTGTGTGTTTGTGTAGAGTGTGTTTGTGTAGAGTGTGTTTGTGTGTGTGTGTAGTGATGTAATTTGTGTAATTTTTTATTTTAATATTTAAATGTTTTTTTATTTTTTGTTTAGTCCCCCCTCCCTGCTTCTTACCAGGGAGGGGGATATAGTATTCCATGGTGGTCCAGTGGCTTGTTAAGTACAGTGGTGGCTCAGCAACAGCAAGCGCTGACTTACCTTGCAAGCAGCTCCTCCAGCTCCCTGTGTAAATCTCGCGGCTCTTAGTGCCGCGCGGAGCGTTGCCATGGTAACCCATGGCAACGCTCTGCGCCCGCGGGTCTCGCGAGATTTACACAGAGAGCTGGAGGAGCTGCTTGCAAGGTAAGTCAGCGCTTGCTGCTGGCCCCCACAGGACCGCCGGGCTTCTAATGGGCCCGGCGGTCCTGTTATATATTATCGGCAATATCGGTATCTGAGTTGGCCGATACCGATATTGCCGAAAATACCAAATATCGGCCGATAATATCAGCCAGACCGATATAGATTATATATATATATATATATATATATATATATATATATATATATATATATATATATATATATATATATATATATATATATCTGAAGTTATGGGAAGGGCATGGTTCCCCCTCTTAAGGAGCACTTAAGGAGCACCAGCCCTGCACTCACTACCGTCTCAGGTCTGTAGATTTGCATACCGTAACATCCAGTCCGCGCAAATTGCCATTTTCTATTCTGAAAACTCGTGGAAACACTTACCTGGTCCTGCAGCTCCTGGTCAGCTCGCACGCTAGTTCCTGACTCCGCGGAGACTCAGCAGGTCCTTACCTCGCCAACCACCCTCTGACTGGTGCCAATTTGAATCCAAACCGTAAGTCAAGGCTGCCCGCCGTGCCGCTGTCGCGGTTGATTCGCATCATCCTGGGCTGGCCCTATCATTATTACATGCTTCTCCGTTCGTGTTTTTTGTTCGTATGATTCATGGCATACAAACGCTTAGGTTATTCATTCGGTCAGAATCACTCAGTTTGGCGGGCTTTCGTGAGCAGACGCACAAACGCTTTGTTCAAACACACAAATTAACCTCATTCGTATGGTTTCGTTAAATTGATAGTGTTCGATTGTATGCACACATAGCCCTTCTAATGGGCCATTCGTATATTTTACCGAACACTATTTTCGGGATTTGTAAAAACTGCCGATTAGTTAATTTAATTTTGTATTTATGTTGGTTATACCGACCTCTGGTGGTCAGACTAGTTATTACTTATTGTATTATGTGAAGCCTAATAAGGCTAAGTATTGTATTGGTATGGGTAGTTCAGGAATTTTTCGGCTTGGCTCATGTTCTGATTTTCATGCTGTTTCATATGTTTCTGTTCCACAATACATTCTGAAATACAGGTTCCACTTTTCTGTCAATAGTACATAGATATCTAAACACGTACGGTATATACACATACCATTTTTGAAGTGTTCAAATGTTATACATTATGTGTATGGGGCATAGATTTAAAGCCTACAAGTGATTATAGACCTCTTATGTTTCAGTCTCAACGGCATCCACAGGGGGCTGCTACTCTACTACCTTTTTCATCTGGTATAGGTCAATAATTGATGATTAATTGCCCACTTAGGATCTTACAAGGCCTGGGTACTTATGTGTAATTTCTGCATTACTAGGTTTAGGCCATCCTTGCAGCTTTTTGATTCTTTGGTTCCAGGTTCCTACATTTGGATAATTTACCGGTAGGTATCTTGTTAGCAGTGGGGAATTAAGGGTACATATCGATATAACCCTGCAAAAACTCACAATTACTCTCGTAGATTACTACAATTTTCTCCCAACCTCCCTACCCCGTCGGGTTCATAGTCTAATTATACACTGGCATTGGAACATAGGAGCCTCTAGATATGTTTTCTGGCCTTCTACGCCTTACGTTAGTGGTCCCGCAAGGCCATCTCCCATCCTCATTTCGGAGGTACGACATTCCCTTGGGCCAATTCATAGTTAGCCGCCTCGCTTGGTTGCATAGAGAGGGCCTCACCTGTCACTCCCACTCTGTCTTTTGCAGTTACTTGTCACAGAGAGGCCAACACCCCGCTATAATATCAATGGTCACATACTCCACTTGGGCCAATTCATAGGTAGTGCCTCTCACAGCCGCTTGGAAGGGAAGGATGTCAATTTGATATCACTGCTCATTGCCTCCCAAGATGTCCTTGAAAACAAGACATGCATATGGGGATGTATCGGTGGCACTAAAAGCCAGGGACCTCAGGCTGAATCGTAAGCTATCCATCCCTGAATTGGCTTTCGGGATCTACAGGGACATATTATGCTCAGTGTATCCCTATAGGAGGGATGAATTGGATCTCTACCTCCACAAGCTGGTGGATTTGGGGCACAAGTACGGTGGTACGTCTTTTTAGGACTACCACGTGCTTTCTCCGCAAAGGCGTCGGCAGCTCTATCCCAGTTTAATTATCAAGCTGACTGGAGTGTGCTGGATACGGAGCTTTTTTGTCGACACTTTGCGGGCCTAAAGACGGCAACTTGTGCCATTTGTGCCTCCAACTCTCACACGGCGAATCTGTGCCCTAATACCCCGGAGGTAAATACCTTCTGCCCTCCTTCCAACATCTTTGGTATTCAACACCATATCCTCACCACTTGGTAAGAGGACAGGAAACTTTGTTTATTAGGCCAAGTAAAGGCCATACTTAAAGGTATCAAGGACTCCACCCCTGCACCCACACCATCCAAATTACCTATCCACAATCTCCTATTCCAGTCACTGTCAAACCTTTTAGATACCTCACCATTTGAAACTCACACAAACCAGGTCATGAAAACGACCATCTATTTGGCGTTTTATGGGTTCCTTAGACCCAAAGAGTTTACCACGACTAATTACAACACCCGATCACTATTTACTGTCCCTACATACAAAAACTAGTGTGAAGGGACAGACTGTCACTATTACCTATTATCCTACTGGTAATAAATGGTGCCCCGTGAAAGTCTTCGACCAATACCTTTCTTCCATTTCAATAGCACCACATCAACCACTGCTAGCATTATACGGTAATACCCTCACTATCAGTAAGTTCATGCTCTATGTAAGAACGTTGTTAGTAAGGTTGGGACTAAATCCGGCCAAATATTCCGGTCACTCATTTCGAATAGAAGCGGCTACTACCGCTTCAAAGAGGAATTTTCCTGCGCACGTCATTAAAATATTGGGCAGGTGGAAGTCCACAGCTTACACCAGATACATACCTCAGCCAGTACAGGAGGTGCGCCTAGCATTCAAGAATATGATTGTGTGATAATCTTATGGTGTATTGCAGTCTGAATAAACTGGTTACATCTTTTTTGCCCTCTTTTATTTCAGGCCTACTGCATCGTCACAGCACACCACAACTGACTTTTCCCATTCCCTGTTTGTTTTATGTTACTAACTCTACAGCTTTATAAAAATTTTATATATATATATATATATATATATATATATATATATATATATATATATATATATATATATATATATATATATATATATATATATATTTATTTATTTCCTAGTAATTTTTATAACTATATGAAGTTTCTTTCTTCTTTTTGTATATTTGTGTTTGTTCTTCCCCATATAAAGTGATATTATGTTTAAACGTGGTTTTATTTACCTATTTTTTGTGTATACATTATGTAAACGTATATCTGCTTTTACCATTATGATGAAGAGATGATAAATACCACACTCACCAAACAAACAAGTTGCTCCGGATCCAGGGCGCGCCAGGCCTCATTTCCAGATATATATATATATATTTTTTTTTTTACATATCTCGGAGAGAGGCTTTACCATTATTATGACAACTAGTAAAATAAATAGGAGTATAACATGTTATAACCTTGGTACATTAATGTATTAAGGGGGACATTTATCTTTAGTTTATTAAGGGTTATTTTTTTTTATTTGAGTACAGCTATGCCTCTATGTTGCTACTGACAATGTATTGTGTTTATATATTTTATATTGCAGGTGTCCCCAACCCAGTCCTCAAGTACTACCTGCCAGTCCAGGATTTAGGAATTACCCTGTTGTGTCAAAATCTTAGAGACATTTGGATTATTATTATTTTATTATTTATACAGTGCCAGCAAATTCCATAGCACTGTACAATGGGATACCTAAATCCTGGACTGTTATAAGGTACTTGAGAACTGGGTTAGGAACCACTGTTACATTGGAATAAATTACATTTAGCACTTTTTTGGTTTTTTGGTTTTCTGTAGCAGAGTGGAGGGAACGAGGGGCATTCCTATGGATCAGTGATGAGATATAAGAGGGACTAGAATTGCTCAGTGCCTTAAATGTATGGGTTAGCACTTTGAATTGACTCCTATAGGATACAGGGAGCCAATGTAAGGACTGGCAGAGGGGTGAGGTGTGAGAGTACTGACTAGAGAGGAAAATCAGTCTAGCTGCAGCATTCATTACAGACTGTAGTGGGGCAATATGGCTTTTGGGGAGACCAATCAGGAGAGGGTTACAGTAATCCATGCGGGAAATTACTAGAGCATGGACAAGCTCCTTGGTAGCACCTTGTGTAAGAAAGGGGCGGATGCGGGCTATGTTTTGTAACATTACTTACACATGTTTAATGGGCATAAATATGCCAGGAAATGTAGAGCGAGATTGAGATCCCCTTGAGGAAAGCATTGAGCCAAAACATTGGTCTCTACTCTCGGTCAGAAAAAAAAAAAAAAGGTAATACTGGTGGGTTTATGGTTTACATAAAGTTTACACATATACCTATACCCAACAACTTGAAGAAGCCATTGTTTATTGCGGTTTTATCACATTTTGATTATGCACTTTAATTGTGCTATACTATTGCTATATTTTGTAACCATAAAGAAGTTTGCATAATGTCATTGATGTGCTATGGTTTGAGGTTTATTGTGACCTAAGAAAGCAGCAAGCCTTAATAAATAACCGGTAATGTATGCTAAATACCGAACAAATAGTCTGAATTAAAAAATGTGTGCGACATCTATTCATAGCATCCAAAACAGAGCACATCCTTGCCTAGGATATAAAAAAAAAAAAAGGAAATCCTCGACTTCTAAATGCTTGGCAAACTGCCTCAAACTAAAATTACTGCACAGTATTGTCAGCAGTTTACTACATATTTAGCACACTGCACTAGTTGTTTATAAATAAGCCAATCTCATTTTTTGTTGTTTGTAACAAGTGTTTCTGTGCGGTAGAGAAAAGTTTGTTTGAGATAAAGGCAGTGTGTTCCAATCTAACATACAAACCCAAGAGATGTGTCCCACATTCTGTAGAAGTCCCCAATAACAAATCAGAGAAGCCGCAAAAAAACAGTGATTGAGGTCACTGTAGCAATTGTGTTATATGAACTGAACAGAAGGCAATTTGCTGTAGCAGTCAGTAATGTCTAGCAGCATCTACACAACATGACCATCATGCAGAATTACAAAATACCTCTCATAACAGTGTAACCTGTGAAGCCGCATGCTGTTTTATTAAGGGGAACAGGATATCAGACTAGTTTAAAATGTTTGTGATGCATTATTTGGAGATAGGAGAGAGTGTGTAACATACATTTTCAGAGTCCTCAACTTGCACTTACTCGAATATCAAATTTATACACATCAAGCCCCTTAATTGATGACAATAGGCAAAATCTCCAATCATTCAATCTCCTTCATAGCATGCGCCATGAGCACCAGGCAATGGCACCACCCTTTGGTTCACACTACATACTTGTAGTCTACCCTTCAGCAAGTGCAGACCACAATAATCCCTTCATCGCAGTCTAGCCGCCACAAAAAAACCTGTGCTCTGATGACAAAGGATCAAATAAATCCTGTGCTCTGATGACAAAGTATCACCTGCTGCAGGAGCACACCACACACATACACCAAGAACCATAGCGAATAATGTGTGTAGATGTTTTGTGGTTGCTGTGCACACCAAAGTCACATACAACACACAAAGACACACAGCACAACCCCACAAAAGAAGCACACAACACAGCTGAACATCTGCCTACTGTGCAGCCCTGAGCCAGGAACCCCTCCACTAGCCATCTAATGAGTGGCCACTTGGAGGTGTCCCTAAGGGCAATGTGAACACTGCCTTTTCTCTGAAAAGGCACTGTTTATATGAAAATGCCTGAAGGGAGCCATTATACTCACCAGAACAACTAGATTAAGCTGTATTTGTTCGAGTGACTATAGTGTCCCTTTAAATTATGCACTTTTCTATCCAGAAGCAGTGCTGTTCCAGTCCACCTGAAGCTGTCAGTGACAACAGTCTCCCCTTCCTGCTCGGATAAATTAGGCATAATCATTGACTCAAACGCGACACATTGCTCAACAGAATGCTTCTTATAGGGAAGCCTACTAAGCTTCCGCATGGAAGCTCTTACTTCTGCTTGAAAGACCAATCAGAAAGCTCCCTTTTGCCGTGTACCTGTTCCCAAACAATGCAAATTAATTCATAAAATTAGAGATTTCTCTTCAAATCAGCACTTTTATGAATGGAGATAAGGGGGAGAGTCAGTTAATCGTGAAAGTGCTTTGTGGGTCTAGAGCAAGGTTTGATAAATAAATTTGCTTTGAATCTAGGAGCTAATTTTTTTGTTTCTTTTACGAACAAAACTTTGCTTAGTGTAGTCATTAAGGGACACTACAGCTTAATGACTACATTCATCATAACACCCAGGACATTACTTGAAAACAAGAGAAATCTCAATGTATCTTTCCTGGTAAAATATTTTATAAATAAATAACTCTTGGTTAAAAGCTCCATCCATCTACTCTTAATGTATAAAATAATGAGGCCTTAGAAACAAAACCAAATAAAATTAAACATTTGCAGTCTTCTTGGGTGTCTCCATTTGTACCAGGTAATTTCTATAATTTGCTTGATAGATCCAGAAGTTAAGCTGTTAATACTTTCATCACCCAGGACATACTTGAAAACAATGGAAATCTCAATGTATCTTTCCTGGTAAAATATTTTATAAATAAATAATATAAATAAATAAAATATTTTATAAATAATCTCCTTTGACACTATTTTTCTAGGTCTGATATGGTTTCTTCCATTTTGCTGCTCGAGTGCTTACCTCTTCTAAGCTTGGGTTGAATAACAAAGCAATTGGACTACGTAGGCATGATTTGTATGTTACATGGAAGCCATATAAATTGCAGTTTGATTATTTGTGTCAATGCTAAGATGTACTTAATAAAGTGGTGACTGTATGCACACGCACATACACACACAAACACACACACACCAAATATATATGCATATACACACACACAAACAGAGAGAGAGATCTATTAACACCTCTTCAATTCTCTGATTAATAGCACATAAAACAGCTTGCATAATTACTTAATTAGCAGCTGTAATTGGGAGATGTTCAGAGAACTTTAATTGAATCAAGGACGGCATAGTTAATTCTTTGAAAGACAGGCACAGAGTTATCAGCTGAGACAGAAGAGTTTAATATGGGATGCAGAATCTCATGAGGGATTAAGAATAAAGAACGAGGCAGTGAGGATTGGGACACCGAGGGAGACAAACCGTTTTATCACAGACACAAGAGGCAAAGTGGGAGACAAGAGATTATGGATTAAGCAAATAATTAGAGATGTAGGGACTAAAAAGAAGAGGGAGGTAGAGAATTTGTTGTAGGAGAAGGGGAGAGAGAACATCTTCACGATTGAAAGAGGGCATAACTGAATGAAGGCAGGAAAGATCAAATTTTATTTACTGTGAATTTATTTTTCCTTCGGATTTGAGGCAATGCACACAACTCGGATACTCACTCTATCTAGACAGGATAAGGTAGGCCAGTCACCAAGAATTCTGAAAGTTAATCCCACCTCATAATTCTCCTTAGGGTTTAAAAACCGCAAATGCCAAAATAATCCCAGAAATACACAAGCAAATTAACTGAAAAATTATATTAATTAAAAGGGGAGGGCGATTTGTGTGCGGTCTCTAAAAAAAAAATAAAAAAAAAAAAAAAAATACAATAAGTAAAATTTGATATATTCCCTCCAGATTAGAGGCAGTACACAACAACTGGGATAGACAAGCAATCCCCAAATGGTAGGTAGACAATTTCACCACAGCCTGTAACACCTTTTCCCAAAACCAGTATGCTCAGAGGTCTGTGTGTCTAATTTATAGTGTTTGGAGAAAGTGTAAATTGATTGCCAGGTAGCGGTTTTGCAAATTTGAGGACAAGCTGAAGTCTTGCATGCCCATGAGATAGCAATTGCTCTTGTGGAATGAGCCTTTACATGAAGAGGAAAAGGAACTTAGATGACCTATTTGCTGGAATTATAGTTTCCTTAAGACACAAGTAAAAATAATTCACCCTGCACTCAAGTACCGCTTAGTAATCCGGCCATCCTCCTGAGAGATGCTCCGTGGAAACAGCAGACAGCAATCTGCTAGAGTCTAGCAAATCGTAAAAGACACAGGCAGCACTCCAAGGTTCTTGATGGCGCATTTATTAGAGGGTAAGTCTTCTCACAAATAAGTGCGACGTTTCGGCTCTATGGAGCCTTAATAATGGACCTCCCAGCCTTCGACACATCATACTCTCTGCACAGGTGTTTGACAGAAGTAATACATGAGAAAGACAGGCACTTGGCATAAGCAAAATCATTCAAAAACCAGTGAAGAGCCGGGCCCGCACAGTGCCCTTATTTACTCCTGAATACGGGAATGCCTATCCTAACCTGCCAAAGGCAGGCAGAGAACTGGGGTTATTTGGGCACTGGCTGTGAGGAGGGTCTTAACTTTTAAAATTTCTAGGTAATTTCCTGTCTTTTCCTGTCTAGGCAGAATGAATATCCACAACAAAAATTTGTTGTGCACTGCCCCTTATTTGGAGGGTAAACAGAATTACAGAACAAATATCAAAAAAACCTGTTCAAGAGAAAATAAAATGGAAAAACTCATGGGATGTGATCAGGTTAAAGTTGAAACGATGTAAGCAGGACAAAGGAAGTAGGACAATGCATAAGAAAAGTCATGTGAAAAAAAAAAATTATCCTAAGGGAGAGGGATTAGGATCTAGTTAGTAAGTCTAGGTTTTAAGAACTAGTAAACAAATGCCTCAAATGTTCTCAATAAATAAATAAATCTCAAAATGAACTGGCTATATGTAAGACACTTAAAAAAACGTAAACAGTAGTTGATATGGATGAAAGAGTATTATTCTGCACAACATTAATAACCAGTGCACTACAGGAATTTGAGTCAGGTCACAGAAAACACAAAACAGCTTAAACACACTCAGCAGGAGTCTTCCCTTTGTTCAGTAAAGCAAGAGAAACATTCTACCGGACCTCTCCTTATATTTTCCATCTTAAGGTTCTTAATGGTCTATCCGCTCCATTGTGGATTTTTGACCATCCAGCGGCTAACATGTATCTTTAGATTAAAATCGAAACAAGACACAATACCAGAATGGAAGGCATTTGAAACGCCATTCACTATGGCCCTCTAACATGCTCTCTTCTCTAGTGGGCTATAAAAATACTATACTGCAGCAATAGTGTATGTATCGGAGAATGAATGAGGGGAACCATTAACAGGGGAGCTCATGAATTGAATCATTAAAGATCTACTACTGACATGGGGCGTTATGTTAGGGTTATTCAAATACTAAACCACCGTTACTTGTTCACTAAATCGAGTTCCCATAAATCTTTCCCAGCAAGCCACTGATTGCAAAGGTTCGGGAGTGTTGTAGTATATAGTCACAACTATTTGCATCAATATTGCCATTCAGTAATAATCAGCAAAAACATTTTTTTAGATGTTTAGAGAAGAGCAATGAGTGTCTCAACCTCTCACCCCCATTGTCTCTTCCTTCGTCCCTCCCAGCATTGTGTGTGCAGTCTTGTTTGTGTTAGCTGGCTGTGAATTGTGGTGTTCTTTATTTTAGCTTTCTACAGGGAGGGTGCTATGGGTAATCTCCACGGTGGTCCAGCAGGGGTAGTGAACCCTGTCTGTCCAGTAGGATAGCTTGTGGTCTACAACTCCAGTGGTTGAGACCACATTCTCCTTGCTCTGATCCCCTAAGCTTCTCCTGTAGCAGACCAACTGATTGCAATACTGATCCCTTTTATATATTACAATACAAGAATAGCATAGGCAAATTTAGCAACAATAAAGAATAAACCATAAAGTAAAATTGGCAAAATGTGGATACTAAATCACAAATAAACACATATCTTAACTGTCCTCCTTGCCATCACATACTTTAGTCTCGATTTTTTGTGTGTAATAATTTTTTTCTAATATATCCATACACTTAAACACTTACCAGGATTTTGGTTCTCCAAAATGGAGGTAGTTGATGCTGTACAGGTCCATGTCTTCAGTGTGCCAAGCAAAAGTAGTCTTCCACATTCCAAAGTAAAGGTATGGTGTATTGACTCCTTCAATGATAATCCCGCATTCATGTTCCACCATGTCCAGAAGGGTGTTCAGCCCTGCAATCTTCCACAGGTTTATTCCCTGCCAAGATAATGTAATCAGAGACGGTTATCCAGGTAAGCATTAAAGGATGTAATTACCAAAAGCAAAAAGTAATAAAAAGTAGTACAATCAAAGAAGATAAACACAAAGAAATAAGTTTCTCTTCACAGAGATTACAGAGAGTATTTATTTTATTCTATATGAATTCTGTAGACTCTAACAATATAAAATAAGGCATTGTTATGAAGGGTATGAAGAAGTAAAGGCCATCAAAGTTTGTGCATATAACATGGTAAAGAGGTAAAATAAGTAACTCACACTGTCGTAAAGAGATCCACTGATATCGGCACCATATATGGGGGACATAAAAGTGAGATTCTTCCAGTATTTACGCTCTAAATCATCAAAATCCTGATGTCGTGGAGTGCAATATCTAGAGGTTTAAAACAATGAGAGTAGTTCATCACATGAAAGTACACAATGAAAGACAATTTAGGGTCATCCTCTTTATTTTAAATTCAATTACGAGTTAGGAGAAAGTGATAGTCAGGAAAACGCCCTTTTCCGTCTGAATCTATACTAATTTAAAGGGGAAGCTGTAATTCACACAATTGTGCGAAAAAAAGTGAAAATGTGAAGAAAAAAAATATACAATAAATCATACAGCTTCTTCCTATTAGTTCACTAACACTAATGTGTGAATTGTCAATAATTCAAAACCAATTTAAAATTTTAGACAAAAAAAAAAAAGCCAAAATGGTTAGATTGTCCAAGTTGAGCGGTTTAGCTTGAAATCCGAATTTCACTTTGAAATGCCGACATGTCACACATTAGCAAACAACCCTGATAAACACAAATGATAAATAAATAATAAAAAAATCTATGAAGTACAGAAACAAACAAAATGAAACAGTATAACTGTTCAGAGTAGGCCATTTCATCCACACCACAAACAGATACACATACTGGTATTTTCACTGTAAAAGGAATTATGGTGAACCAACAAAACGAAAAGGGAAAAAAAATGCAATTCTCAAAATTCGCCATTTTGATAAAGAAAGTTTTAATTTGGTTACAATTCAGCGTTTAGAAAGTAAATTCCACTGTGCTAGGTACGACTAGGATAATAAATTAATCCTCTTGATAGAGCCTGAGTTATGTGCTTTAGGAGAAAGCTCATGCAGCTTCACAAGACTTTGAATTGGCTGACACATGTGTAAAATATACCTCAGGGTCCCGCCACAGTATATGTGTGTGTATAAATTATATATATATATATATATATATATATATATATATATACACACATACATACACACACAAAATAAAAATAAAATATATACACACACATACATACACACAGTCATGGGGAAATGAAAGTACAACCGCTTTGAATTGTATGGTTTTACATATCAGGACATAATGTTCATCTGAGGTTGTATTTACCGAATTTTAAGACCTGCTAAGGAACAGATGATTAATGACACATAACATATTACACCATATTATGACTGAACAAAATAAAGCCAACATGGAGAAGCCATGTGTGAAAAACTAATATGGTAACATGGTGGAACTGAATCCCCATATTTGTTTGCGGAGATAGGTGATTTTAATAAGCCTTATAACATTTAAAACTGTATTTTTATGTGTGCGTGGTTTCTTAATTTGTATTCTGAAAAACTATTACACCTTATGATTTTATAGCTTCTAGAACCATGTTTAGCAGCAATAACTTAAAGTAATAGTTTTCTGTGTGTCTCACATTGTTGTGGAAGAATTTTGGCTCACTCTTTTTTACAACATTCTTACAGTTCATTGAGGTTTGTTGGCATTTGTTTATGCACAGCTCTCTTAAAGGGACACTATAGTAACCAGAACAACTACAGCTTATTTAATTTGTTCTGGTGAGTAGAATCATTACCTTCAGGCTTTTTGCTGTAAACACTGTCTTTTCAGAGAAAATGCAGTGTTTACATTACATCCTAGTGATAACTTCACTGGTCACTCCTTAGATGGCTGTTAGAGATAATTCCTGGGTCATGGTTGCCTAAAATGCATCCAAACATGCAGTATCTCCTCCCTCTGCACGCAGACACTGAACTTTCCTCATAGAGCTTCAACGATTCAATTCATCTCTATGAGGAGATGGTTGGCCAGGGCGGTGTTTGAATCATGCTGGCTCTGCCCCTGATCTGCCTCTTGTCAGTCTCAGCCAATCCTATGGGGAAGCACTGTGAGTGGATCAGTACACCACTTCTGATGATGTCAGCAGATGCTTGTTTTTCTGAGTCTAACAGCATGCATAGTTACAGCTTCAGGCTTGAATACAGTAAGATTTTGCCATATTTATGGAGGCATGAGGGGCTAGATGGAACACTATAGGGTCAGGAATACATGTTTGTATTCCTGATCCTATAGTGATCCTTTAAGGTCCCGCCACAGCATTTGCGACAACTTGATTCTTTCTTTTTTTAACCATTCTGTTGTAGATTTGCTGGTGTGCTTGGGAACATTGTCCGGTTGCATGACCCAATTTTGGCCAAGCTTGAACTGTAGGACAGATGGCCTCACATCTGACTCTAGAATACTTTGGTATACAGATTTCATGGCCGACTCAATGAATGTAAGGTTCCCAGGTCCCGTGGCTGCAAAACAAGCCAAAATAATCACCCCTCCACCACTGTGCTTGAAAGTTGGTATGATATCCTATGTTTGTTTTCCACCAAATGTGGCGCTGTGCATTATGGCCAAACATCTTCATAATCTCATCTATGCAAAGGACATTGTTCCTAAGCCGTGAGGCCATGTTCTTTCTAGAGAGAAGCAGCTTTCTCCTGGCAAGCCTCCCAAATAAACCATACTTGTTTTGTCTTTTTCAAATTGTACCATTAACATTTAAAATGCTAACTGAGGCCTGTAGATTCTGATATGTAACTTGTTTTTTTGGAATTTCTCTGAGCATTGCACAGTCAAACCTTGAGGTGAATTTGCTGGGATATTCAGCCAGAGAAGATTGGCAACTGTCTCGAATGGGCCAGTGGTGTACAATGGGCAGCACTGGCATTCAGTATCTCCACACAATGCATGGAGACACTGAACGCTCCACATATAGATGTACTGATTCAATTCATCTCTAAGAAGGAATGCGGATTGGCGCAGCGCTGCGTTTTGCTGCACATGCGCAATAGCCTCCCAATGCTTAGCTATCGGAAAGCATTGGATTGGTTGAGATCGTCAAAATTGATGTTCTCAGCAAAGAAGGCAGAGCAGGGGCGGGGCCAGCCACAATGAGATCTACGCATTCTGGAAAAAGGTAAGTAAACCACCTTTTTTTCAGGAGGCAAGGGGGGCCAAACACTTAAACAGTGCTTTTACACCTACATGAAACAATGTAATATGTCATTTGTTGTTTGTTCATCTGAGGTTGTATTTACCTCATTTTAATAACTGCTTAGGAAAAGATGATTATTATGTCTGGATACGTAAAACCATAGAATTCAAAGAGGGTGTACTTTGATTTTCTCATGACTGTGTGCACATGTCCTGCATATTACGTCCATTAATTGGTTTCACAGCACCAGTCTCACTTGTCACTGTTGGCCAACTTCCGGTATTCTCCTACAGTCATAGCTTTCTTCTGGATGTTATACTGCGTAAAGAGACCAGATTGGCCAGTAACCACCTGTTGAATGGGTGCCGGAATCACCATTTCATCCAAGTCATCATATGTTTGTCTTGGACGCCACTCCTTTGGAGGAATCACCTGCAAGCATAAAGAGCGTATTGTAATTAGCAGTTAGTTACTCTACTATTTATATAATGTAATGACTTTAGGCATACATATTTGCAAGAGAGAAGTTTAATTTTTAAGGTATATAAAATTCCAGATCTTTTTAAAAAACAAAAAGATGCAGCATGAAGTCAAACATTTTCGGAGAGTAGAAAAATTAAGTCTGCACAGTCCACTCCCTTGGTTCTTGCAGCTTAGTCTGAGTAGACGGGCTACTATGCATGTCGCCGTTTCAGTTGTGAATAATTGGGTGCCCAATGGGAGCATTTGGGGATAAGCAGGGCAAAGGAAGAGCAGAGCAGACCCACAATAGGTCTGTCAATCAGGTTAGAGAGCATTCATCCTAGGCACCCAAAACAATAGACAGGCTTATTTGAACTATTCCACGTCTGTCACAAAGTCCTAAGTTCCTAGTCCCTCCATGATAAGGGATATTGAGGAGCATTGCAAGGTTGCATCTTAACCCATCAGATCTGTAGAAGTGTCTTGATAGTCTATAATATGTATTCAGATGCAAAAAGATTAGGCTATTTGCCTTCTGCTGCTTGACTATTGGCTCTGCACAAAAACAGACCCACTACCTGTGGGCATCCAATGTCATTACTATTCATGCCAAATTACTCTCCTTCAGCTACCATCTAAATGACTGCAAAATTTACATCTGATGCAACAGAGAACTGCAACAAGAAAGTCCTCCTGAACCACTGTCAAGTACTATTGAGCACACCTGGTGAGGATATGGAGAGGAAATCTTCCTTTATGGCAGTGTCAAGCAATGTCTCCATGTAAACTATTTTATGAACTACAATCAGTTGACTATTCACAAATATATGTGAGGAGTTGTACTTTGACTAAAAGTGACCATTAAAAATAAAATATGCCTGTCTCTATTCCACGAATGTCGTCAGGAACCACTGATGGAAGTAATCACCTTCGCATAAAAGAGGGACATGCTTTACTCCCAGTAGAGATATACATGTATGTCTCAGCCATGATGCAGTCCAGCAATATGCATTTTGAGATTGCACCAATATTCAGGCTGTTACAGGGATTGACATCTCAGCTCATTTCGGGGACTTTACCTATGTATTGAGCTGTGAGACAATACAGTTATGACAGATTCACTATCAGATGCTCTGTTGGTAACCGTTGATACGCTTACAGTCTCAGCACATCTAAGTAGATAGATTATACACATAGTGATGCACTTCATGATACAACATACTAAAACTTCCAAAAAAGCAAGCCTTCAGTCACTAACCCACAGATGTTATGCAGATCAAGTCACACAATTCTATCATGTGACAAGTCATTTCCAATCACACAGAGCTGCTTTGTCACACAGCATCAGGGAATCTTAAATGATCTCACATTGCACTAGGGATAAATCACAGAGCATTTTTAGATTTCATTTTGATTAATGAAAAAAAGTGGAAAGCAGTTTTTGAGACAGAGGTACACTATTGTATAGCCGAGACAGGCAGATGAGTATTTGAAACGTGGAGAACCCAAGAGTGTACTATGCAGTACATAGAAAAGAAATCTTTCTTAAAGACTCTGTTTTAGACTCTAAAAATAGGTAATCTTAAACTTTTTCTAGGAATCTATTGCACTCCAGACTAGTGATGAAAAAAAGTTTTATTTACTAAAATATGATCAGTCCACTCTTACCTTAGCAAGGCCAGCTCGGTGTGCACCCTGAGATTCAATGTATGCCATATATTTCCCAAAATCCTGGAACTCTTCCCAGGTTGGCCGGAAAGTCATAATCTTGCAGCTGGAATTCTGTGACGCAGCCTCTGACCCCATGATAACTCACAAACTGCTCACAGTTTAACGCAAAAAGTATCTATAACAACAAATAATACAAAACCGTTAGAATACATAATTTAATATCTCTAAGAAATGAAATAAACAAAATAAATCTATTACAGATGACATGTACTCCAAAATTCAACATCATTTTAAAAAGAGATTACTTTAGTAAAGGAATGCACAATATTGTTCATTATTATTTTCAGCTTAAAGGGACACTATAGTCCCCAAAACAACGCTAGCTTAATGAAGCAATTTTGGTGTATAGACCATACCTCTGATGTTTTACTGCTCAATTATCTGCCATTTACAATTGAAATCACTTTGGTTTCTGTTTAAGTAGCCATTGTCACACCTCCCCTGGCTGTGACTGACATCCTGCATAATTTTTTTTTAAGTTCAATCAGGTGTTAACTTACTTCATAAGTTTTTATCTCCTGCTTTTAATTACACACAGACTGCTGCAGGGTCTAGTAAGCTTTTAACAGAGCAGGAGATAAGAAATTCAACATTGAACAGACTGTGCAATAAAGGAAGTGTAAACATTAGATGACTCTTACAGGAAGTGTTTAGGTAGGCTGTATAAGCCACATGCATTGAGGTGTGACTAGGGCTGCATGAACAAAGTGATTTACCTACTGAATGACAGAGAATTGAGTAGTGAGACTGCAGGGAAATGATCTATACACCAAAACTGCTGCATTAAGCTAAAGTTGTTGTTGACTATAGGGTCCCTTTAAAGTGAAACTGCTTTGAATTTTTTTTTACTTACCTGCAATTGCTCTCATACATTAAATACAGCATAAATCAAAAAGATACATGGTGTATTCAATGTAAAATATAAAGATTTAATTACCATTCCTTCGTTCCAGTGCCGCTTTGTGGTTGTTACTCTTCGTGTAACACCCACCTTAGGCCATCCTCCAATCCACCTTAAGTCTTTTAGCTGCCCTGCTTGGGACACATCCCAAAGCAGGGCAAATCTTGCCAGTGATGTTGGCCTAATCTATTTGCTGGCAAAACTGTTAGCACAGTGCATAGATACAATTGTATGCTCAATTTAACGAGCAGAAATAGTTTTGGGTATGACAGGTGCCCTTTAAAAATGACAAAACATACAAAAACAAAACAACCTTTTGTGCTCCAATACCACAAGCTACAAAACATAGATTACATGAAATTTCAATACAGAGGTTTATTAAATTTTTTTTTAATGCGCTCTCCTCAGGTTTAAAGGGACACTATAGTCACCAGAACTACTATACAGCTTAATGTAGTGGTTTTGCTGCCGATAGCCTGACGTTTCACTGACAGACACACACATTCTCTCACACACTCACAGATTATTTGTTTTATTTTAGGTCTACCACGCTCCCTACCATTGAGATGGGGTAGATTATTTCCCTGGGGTCCAGTGTGGCTGCTGTGATCCTGTAATCTTCTTGCTCTTCTCCCTCTCGCCGTTTAGTGATGCTGGGGTTGGAATCATGTCATATTCCAGCTCCCAGCATCATAGTGGGGCAAGCAAAGATGCAAAGCTAGAAGAGCATGAAGATCACAGTACCCTCAGCCGGCCGCCTCCACTCTCCCTCAGTTTGCTGCCTCATCTGAACCAGCTGACAAACACCTAGGTGCCAGGACAAAATTCCTAGTCACAATAGCGACCTGGCACCATTGTTTGACAATACCTAGGCCTCCACGGCGACTAGGGATTTTCTTCTGGTGCCTGGGATTTACCAAGCTTTGGCTTATAACACCTGGAGTACCCTAAAGTTGTTACTCCATTCAGTGTTCTACAATGTTTGAGCATTATAATACACAATGAGGGTCTAGTTTAGCATTACATATTAAAAACTGTTTAATGATAAATGGAACTCCAGGGCCGTGGGGTCTCCAGACATTATAAGTACTTCAATGAGATGACGCAGTTATAGTACTTACAGTGTCCGTTTGAAGATTTAGAACATTTTAATTATAATAGAGTTCAGACAAGGCCAAAACCAGAGCAAATATTGCAATTGAGTAGGCGAAGCAAACAATAATTACATGTCTTTTCTGTATGCTTTTTTTCTATGCTGACTGCCAGGTACAAAGAACAGAGGTTATAACAATGGTGACAGGGAGGGTGGAGGAGCCCAGCTGCAGAATAAAGACCTGTTATTTCTACCCTTCACTTTTTAGAAACCTCAAAAATATATTTGATAAACATAGGGATAAGTAACTGAAAAAGTACAATATACAAAATGTTAGTTCACCAAATGTGTATAGTAAAAGTTCACATTTATCTGAAATATAGCATTACCTGCCGTACAATGTGAAGTCATTGGTTTGTTTGATTTTGCTTTTCTAAGTTTGTTTTGTTCATCCTTGGGCAAATTGACATGATTTTAGATAAAGGTATAATGTAGGCAAGCAGTATGGAGTCTCAAATATTTTTGTTCATAGAGTGGAAGGGGTAAGGAGTAGAGGATTTGCCAGGGGAGAGGTGTTGAGTGGCAATGCTGCCGTGGGTGGGCAGTCAGGGTTATGTGGTGTTGATTTACCGCATTTTGTGTTCTTTTTCGTAATATATATGGTATAGTTGTTTTCACCAGATGCTAACCTCTTATTTTGTGTGACACTGGTTTCCTCATTCTTGTCATGCAATTCCAAACACTTTCTTTTTTTTTTGACATTCTTTATTTTATAATTTTGTCGTCTGAACAAGGGTATTAACAGTTGGGGGTACAGTACAAATTTAAACACCCACAGTGGCTTGTGAAGCAGCCGCAGGAAATATGACCTTTGTATCCCAGAGTTTTAGCAGGTGTGCCCCTGATGGTCTAGGGGCCCTCTTCAGCTGTACCCGCTGGTCTAACATGCGCTACAGGGTTAGCCCGGCTAATGTGGGCCTGGTAGGTTTGACTTGTCTCTTTGCCTCATCCTTCCCTTTGCGGAAGTGGTGATAAGATGTTGGGGCGTTTGTCAGAGGCGAGACGGTTATTACAACGGTTTGGGGTGAAGGGGTGCCCAAGCCCTCTTCCCTGTTCGTGGCTGGGCCGAGTTATTCCTCTCAGTCTCCAAGTTTTATCCCAGACATGTGCATTCAGATGGCTAGTGGGCGTATTGCGAGTGTGTGTGGGTTTGACAGGTTTTGCATTCCTGGTGTCTCTGTCAGTTTACGGTGGACTGTGGGGGGGTCACGTCCTGTAATTCACGTGAGTCTCTCTTCTTGTCGTGTGGTCCCTTGCGGATCTTCTTCCTTCCGCCATGATTGTCTCCCTTCCCCTTGTCTCCTGCGTTCCCGTCTCGACTAGGGTGAATATGGGTATGCACATAACTTGTGGGTGTGGGTTTGGTTGTGTGCGTCTTAACATCAGGGTCAGGTGTTTTTCGATTCTTTTGGTATCTGGAATGGGTTTTGTGGTGTGACTGTCTGTGGTCTAGAAGCTGTCCGTTTGCGTGGCTGTATGTCCGGGGTGTCCACCTGTTCCGTTAGTCAGTGGGTAGTCGGCGAGGGGGGGGGGGTGAGCTGGTGGGATGACGTGGGCAGGGGAGAGAGGTGAGCCTGCATCGTCGTTGGCCAGTACCCTGCTGTTCTTACTCGGCCCCCTGTCCGGGTCCCGGCGGTATCCGCCCCGACCGGCCATGTATACGATCCAGGGCGTCCATAGCCGGGTATTGCATTCCTGGGTTCCGCGTAGCTCAGCCGTCAGGGACTCCATCGCAAAGATCTCTTCTACCCTCGCCATCCATTGTGGTAATGTTGGGATGTCTTTTGATTTTGATTTCCACCTAGTGGGGAATTAAGCTTTTGGCGGCATTGAGTAGGTGTCTCGTTATAGATTTCTTGTAGCTAGCCAGAGATGTCCGTGTGTGGTTGAAGGGCATGGGGAGTGGTTCGAAAGGCATATTGGAGTCCAGTATTTCAATTTTGTTGTGGATCTGCTGCCAAAAGGCAGCTATCGGCGGGCACGACCACCAGATGTGGAGGTCCGTCTCCTCCTCAGCCTCGCAGCGCCAACACGTATTGGTCGGAACGATCCCCATGGCGTAGCGTCTAGTTGGGGTTCTGTACCAGCCAGTCAGGAGCTTATAGTTGAGCTCTTGTATTTTGGAGCTGAGTATCCCTTGGTAGGAGAGGACGTGGATCTTTTTCCATTGCTGGTCCATGAGGATAGTTCCAGTGGCCTGTTCCCATTTGGAGTGGAAGTGAGCCGGGGTGGTCCTGTTCCGCTGCTTTCAGTAGGGCGTAAAGAGTCAAGACTCCGCGGGGTAGGTGTTCCTTGCTATCACAGAGCATTTCGAACTGTGTGAGGTGTCTGTGTAGGAGTTGCTTCCCCTGTAGGGCCGTACAGGAACGCTGCACCTGGTGGTATCGGAATCTGAGGATACCCATTGCCCGCGAAAGCCCGCAGTGTGTTGTTGCCACACCATGCACGGAGGTTTTGGGTCTCCCTTCCGCCAAAGCCCTCGATGTCTTGCAGCGTCAGGCCCCCTGCGATCTCTGGGTTGTGTATGACTGGGGACAAGGGGGACGGGTTTGTTGTGAGCCTCAGTTTGTACCTGATCCTCGTCCAGACCCCCCAGAGTCGTCCAAATGTAAGGGTGGACCCATATAGCTCTGTCCCTCATTGGGTTTTGTTTCCATATTGCCAGAGGAATTTGATCGCCTGCTTGCATTCATTCTATGTGGACCCATTGCTTGTCTGTCGTGGGTACGTGCCACTCTATGATCTGCAGGAGGTGGGTGGCTTGGTAGTATGCTCGCATGGGCGGTAGCCCCGTCCATCCTTTGTGCCTCGGGAGGGCTAGTTGTGTGCGTTTAATTCATGGGGGGTCGGCTGACCAGATAAACCTAGATATCGCTGAACTTAAGGTGCGGAAGTAGGCCAGTGGGATCGTGGTCGGGAGGTTTTGGAACAGATATAGTAGGCGTGGTAGCAGGTTCATCTTCACGGCGCTGATCCGCCCGAACGATGACACACATGCGATCCCACCTCAGGAGGTCCTTTCGTAATGTTTGAAAGATGGGGAGGAAATTTTCCTGATAGAGCCGTGAGGGTTCTTTAGTTAGCCATATTCCTAGGTATTTGATTTGGTGTGAGTACCATCTGAAGGGGAAGTTCACCTTCAGCCTATCCCCGTCTCCTTTGAGAGGGACAGGGGTAGTGCCTCCGATTTGTAGATATTGTGTTTTAAGTTGGAGGTAGTCCCGTATCTAGTGAAGGCAGCTAGGATATTGGGCAGTGTGACCGCTGGGTTGCATATGAAGAAGAGTAGATTGTCAGCATATGCAGCTACCTTTTGCTCCTTTCCACCGTGGGTTATCCCCTCAATGCCCCAGTCCCGTCTGATCGCTTCCAGAAATGGTTCTAGAGAGAGGGCAAACAGAAGGGGGGACAGGGGGCACCCCTGGCGCGTCCCATTCCGTATTTTGAACGCCGGGGATAGGGCTCGATTTATTCGTCGTTGTGTCTTCGGGGCCGCGTATAGTGCCGAGATCCACTTGAGGATCTGAGGTCCGAATCCCATTGCCTGTAAAGTGGCTTGTAGGTATTGCCAGTCCGTCCGGTCAGATGCCTTCTCGGCGTCAGTTGAGAGAAGTAGGCCTCGTCTGGGTGGTTTGAAAGAGATGGATGATGTTGAGCGCCCTGATGGTATTGTCTTTCGCTTCTCTCCCAGGGATGAATCCTGTTTGGTCCGGGTGGATCAGGTTCCAAACACTTTCAGTTATGCTTATAAGTTATGCTTTGGGTCAGGTATGCCTTGAAATGGCATAGTTCTCCTTGTCAAGCAGCAGAGGTAAACAAGTCACCCCCTAGTTGACTAAAGAAGTATAGAACTATCAAAGCAAAGTACAAAGAAATATTTAGTAAGCAATACTTACTAAAGTAAAAATTTTGCAAAAGAAAAACCAAAGCTGTTTCCTAGTAAAAGTGCTACATTTAAGAATTATATTTTGTTGTTGAAAATAAAGCTTTGTTAGTTTAACCCCTTAACGCCGTTACGGCGTTCTATGCCGTCGCAGCTTTAAAGCCGTTGCGGCGGCATAGAACGCCGTAACGGCTTTCTGCCCCAGGGGATCGCAGCTACCTACCTCCGCTGCGATCCTCTTCTGGAGGGCTGCCAGACTGCCCAGGCAGCCCTCCCCCGGCAAATTAGACACCCGGGGGCCATGTGATCGCTCTCAAAGAGCGATCACATGGCCCCCTATAGCTGGCTATGGATCTGCCAGCAGGGGGGCTGTCTGAAATAGGTGGCTATATTGGTCACTGATTTGTTTTTGTTTTGTTTTTGAATGTCAGAAATGTATATTTGTAAATGTTGAGATGTTATATTGGTTTCACTGGTAATAATAAATAATTGAAATGGGTATATATTTGTTTTTTGTTAAGTTGCCTAATAATTATGCACAGTAATAGTCACCTGCACACACAGATATCCCCCTAACATAGCTAAAACTAAAAACAAACTAAAAACTACTTCCAAAAATATTCAGCTTTGATATTAATGAGTTTTTTGGGTTCATTGAGAACATGGTTGTTGTTCAATAATAAAATTAATCCTCAAAAATACAACTTGCCTAATAATTCTGCACTCCCTGTATATATATATATATATATATATATAAAAAGATGATGGCTTGGCACTCTCCTCAAAGCAGATAATCCATATATTACTTGCCTGGGTGCAGATCTTAAGCGTCAATAATATAAAAATAAAGAATTCAAGATGCACTCACAGGTCTTCAAAAATAAGGAAAAAACTGGTGTTTTATTAATCCATACGTGATATACAACGAAAATCAATCGACGTTTCGACCCTGCCGGGTCTTTTTCAAGATCATTGTGTGCATAACAATACAGTGTATATATATTAAATATAAAAATATATGTATGTGCAATAGAGCAGTTAGGTGAAGGGAGTCTGCCCGTTAGAACCCGGAAGTGATTGGAAGCCGCCCGGACCGTCACGTGATCGGACGTCTGACGGAAGCAAACAGTAACCATGGTGATAGTGTACACACCGTTACCATGCCAAGCACAAAAGAAGCAAATAGCAGTGAAGGAAAGTTGATTGTGTAAACTATCAACATAATAGAGTGATACATATTACCACAGATAGATGAAGCTAAAGTGAGAACAACTGTGTCATAACGTGCAAAGTAAAAAATGTGACATAAGTGAAGAAATAAGTCTACAAACAATGTGCAATATATTACATCATATCCATATAATCGCATCAAAAAATTAATTAAAAAAAAGCAAGAGTTCAGGCATATATATATCATAATATACAAATGAAAAAAGAGATGATAATCTAATCCCTAAAAGATAGGGAGAAATATTTGATGTAATAGTGACATAAATACAGAAAAAATATATTTAATACTCTCATAATAATAGATAGAAGGAGCTCAGAGCTCTATATAGGCATATTATATTGCAAAACAAAAAACAAACAAGCCAAATATAAATTACTGACCTAGAAGAAAAAGGGGTAGGCTACTATAAAGACATAAAGACATCCTGTCAGAAGTTATAAACTATAAACCCAACTACACCAGGGAACTGACACATCTGAATACATAAGAGAATATCTATAATAAATCGCTAGAAAAATCAACATGAGCAAATCCCGTTCATATTATGTAATCTAGCTAATGGCTACTGAAATAAAACACATATGATCATAAAAAAGAAAAAATATCGAATACCAAATAGCTAATCTTTAGAGATTTGCTCAACGAACAAGACAAATTTTTATGTATATATAATATCACTATATAGCCATAAGGTTACGGTAGTATAACCAAAATTGCTGCTAAGTAAAAAAACTCTGGTCACAAAAACATAGAGTACACAATATTCTCATTTAAACCTCTAGGGGTTACTGTGTCCAAATAATGGATCCAATAAGCCTCTCTCTGTAGGAGGGTTTTGGATCTATCGCCTCCTCGGTCCAGCGGGGGAACATGGTCAATACCAATAAACTTAAACGTAGGTAAATGGCCAGAAGAAATGGCCAGTGTTTGTGACTAAGTGGCTACTAAAACAGACTGGACATACCCTGTTTGCAATACCTTGGGTTGTCTACTATTGCAAATGGTATGCCATCATAGGGGTAATTTTCATTCTTGGGCTACCATAGGGTCACAAAGGCAACGTAAGCAATCTGGCGAATTTTAATGTGAAAAAAATGAAACACAAGCCTTATATTTGACGCTGTAACTTTTGAAAACACCATAAAACCTGTACATGAGGGTTACTGTTGTACTCGGGAGACTTCACTGAAAACAAATATTTGTGTTTCAAAACAGTAAAAAGTATTGCAGCAATATCATATGTGTAAGTGCTGTTTGTGCGTGAAAAATGCAAAAAACTTCACTTTTACTGGCGATATCATCGTTGTAATACATTTTACTGTTTTGAAACACTAATATTTGTGTTCAGCGAAGTCTCCCGAGTAGAACAGTACCCCCCATGTACAGGTTTTATGGTGTCTTGGAAAGTTATAGGGTTAAATATAGTGCTAGCAAATTAAATTCCCTTTACTTTCGGCATGGGTTGTCAGGCAGGTCCTGCTAATTGTAATTAATTAAGATGCCTAATTATGTAAAAATATTACATAAATATATATGTAGAATTAATATATATATATATATATATATATATATATATATATATATATATATATATATATATATATATATATATATATATATATATATACACACATACATATGTGTATATATATATATAATTTTTTAAAATATTTTTATTTATACATAGGTGTATATATATAGTGATATATACGTATATATTTATGTATATAGATATATATTATTTCGTTCTACGTGTATTTTGATATAAATATATATATTAATATCACAATACAGTTAGAACGAAATAACAAACATCTATATATTTTTTAATTATTTATTTTTTTATTATTTTTTTTAATTTTTTTTACGTATTTACAGTTTTTTATATTATATATAAATATATATATATATAACAATAATTATATATATATATTTAATCATTATCAGTCTACGTGTAATTCGATAGTAATATATATATATATATAATTATATATATTAATATTTAAATACACTATGTGTAAGTGTGTGTGTATATATATATATATATATACACACACACTTAGATCATATATATATATATATATATATATATAATATATATGATCTAAGTATATTTTATTTGTAACTGTAATTTTTTTTTTTTTAACTAATTTTATTTTTATTACAGGACAGGGGGAAGAGACAGTGTCAGCCAGTGATTTCACATCACTGGCTTACACACAGGATCAGTGATCACAGTGACTGCCTGTGATCACCTCCTGCAGATTGGGTAATTGACCACAGGGGGGAGTGCCTGGGTGGTACAAGCACTCCCCCCCTTCCAATCTGCAGGGGGATCTTTGTGCCAGTTACATGTGTCAGCCAATAGGCTGACACATGTAACACTGATCGCAGTGACAGGCTGTCACTGCGATCAGAGCGCTCTGAGATTAGCGCCGGCCACGTGGGCGGCCATTATAGCGAGGGCGTACTATTACGCCCACCGGCGTTTAGAGCCGGCTACTGCAGGGCGTAATAGTACGCCCTCCGGATTTAAAGGGTTAATTCGCAAGCACTATATTTGACCCTGTAACTCTCCAAGACACCATAAAACCTGTACATAGGGGGTACTGTTTTACTCGGGAGACTTCGCTGAACTCAAATATTAGTGTTTCAAACTGGTAAATTGTATTAAAACGATGATATTTTAAGTAAAAGTGACTTTTTTGCATTTTTGACAAACAAACGGCACTTTTATGGACTTTATTATTGTTGTAATATATTTACTGTTTTAAAACACTAATATTTGTGTTAAGTGAAGTCTCCCGAGAATAACAATACCCCCCGTGTACAGGTTTTATTGTTTTTTGGAAAGTTATAGAGTCACATATAAGGCTTGCATTTTATTTTTTTGACATTGAAATTTGCCAGATTTCAATTTGAGAATGGAACGTTCAATATTTGACCCTGTAACTTTCCAAAACACCATAAAACCTGTTAATGGGGGGTACTGTTGTACTTGTGAGACATCGTTGATTACAAATATGGGCATTTTTTCACAGCATTCACAGCTAAAATGTCAGACGGAAATACAAATTTAAAAAAAAAAAAAAAAAAATCTTATTTTCTAAACATTTTTTTAATTTTATTCATAATAAATGATGTTCCATATATGAATAGTTAATGATAAATTAAAGCCCTGTTTCTCCTGAACAAAATGATATAAAATAAGTGTGGGTGCACTTGATGTGACAGCGGTGAATTACAGGTGAACAGACATATAGCGCAAATTCCAGTTTTTGTTTACGTTTTGTTTTGATCAGAACGCGTACTATTGACTCCGTCCTGAAGGGGTTAAAATAAAACCTGGCTCCTAACTTTTTTAACCGGCTCCTAGACTCAAAGCAAATTTATAAAGACCTGCTATAATTTATGAGATCTTTAATGCGAACCTGTCTTGACAGGATAAAAAAGGCTGAGCAGCTGGAGTGCAGCTAAGTAAAAACCTTTTTAAGGGTTTTAATGAAATGCTAAGAGAGAAGGGGACACAAAAACACAAATAGGGCACTATAACATTAAGAATATAGGCTTGTATTTCAAATACTATAGTGTTCCGTTAAAGGGTCTGGGTTCAGTGTCCCTGACCACTTATCTTCAAAGAAAGTATGATGGTTCACAGGAACTCCAACCCTTATCACGACTTCATTGAGACAAGGCTATTATTGGGGTGGAGTGGCTCTGCAAGATTAGATTTATATCAATTCCTAACCCTAAATATAAAACCCCCTATTTGCCTTTGCACTCTTCCCCCCCACTTTCATTAATGTTTTACATAAATCCTCCTGTCTACTTCTTTGTGCTGAGGCAGAAATGTGGTTTGCCATACACAGTGTTGAAGCGGAAGTATGCTGTCGTTGACAATAAAGCTTTGCTAGCTTAAAAAACCCTGGCTCCTAACTTTTTTAGTCGTCTTCTAGATTCAATGCAAATCTACCAAGCCCTGACCTACAGTCCACGCAGTTGTGCTTTAATCAATCAATAAGAGATAGGCGGGGAAATCTTTGTTTTAATCCCGTCTGACTAGCAATTTGACAAATTTCTAAGATGCTGCCAACTCATGTGTGTCGATAAAATACAGTCACCACACTTCCATAAAGACTATACAAAAGAAAATGCTATTTATCATTTATTCAGGAAACAACAGTAGTCTCAAGTAGGCAATGATTTCCCATAAGATATTTGTTGCGCATGCAGATTGAATCGCCCCACTGAGGCAAAGCGGTTGTGGATGAGGATTTCCCAACCAATTAACGGCAGTCATGGTGGCAAAATAGAACAGGACAAGGTATATTTTTTAAATAAAGTTTTAACACAAGCATGTTTATAAAAAATAAAAATAAAAAAAAATGGAAAAAACATTTTTTCATACCATTTATACCATAACCTTTGCAATTATGCTTTTGGATTGACAGATATGCAAATAATAACTAAATTTGTTTTAAAAGGTACACTATAGTCACCAGAATCACTACAGCTTAATGTAGTAGTTTTGGTGTCTATAACATGTCCCCTGCAGTGTTCGGAATGAAAACAGTACATTTTCAGAGAAAAGCCAGTATTTTACATTGCTGGATAGTAACACCTCTAGTGGCCATCACACTGACAACCACTATATGCGGCAATGGCAGTGTGCATGGAGTTACAGAACATTCCCTATAGAGATGCACTGATTCAACGTGGAGTTTGTCACGCATGTCCCTATGGATTGGCTGAGATCATCAAGATTGATCATCTCAGCCATGGAGGAGGAACCAGCAGTGGCGAGGGAGAAAACGAGAGTAAAATAACTGTTACTGAGAGAAAAAAAAATATTGGTCTAGAAAAGATGGCCTTTAGAATAAGTGGGAAAGAAAAAGCTGATTACAAGCTATGGGACTGTTAGTTAAATGCAAACTCAAACGCTACATACTTATTCCACACAGTATTAACCTTAACAGAAACGAAGATCTAGCATTATGTTTTCATTCCACACCCTTTAAGCATTGTACACATCTACAATTGGAGGCACCAGGGATAGACCGATACACGTAACCAAGTAACTTACGCACTTGATCTCATACAGGAATACGGGAGGAGTATACCATTGATGCAAAAACCAATGAGCAGCCACACCACTATAGCATGCAAAATCCCCCTATCTCCCCTACTTATATCCACATAAGGCGTTAAATTCATTCATTTTGGTATGCATTGTTGTCTCTTTTTTGTATCTCATTGTTGTGACGGACCGCCTGGCACCCGACTGCGTAACTCTGTCAATCACTGCTTCCTAGTAATCCTTGAGTACCATAAGGTCCACACCAGACATCATAACCACCGTCAACACCACAAACTGCTGCAGGTTGGTTGGGGTCTCACTTTCTTCAACCCGCCCTGGACCCAAGATCAGAATCCAGCTTCCAGTGCATAGACCTGTCCTAGTCCAGAGAGCAAAGCATTTAATGGCAGCCACAATTGGCCTTATATGCAGGTCCCCATGCAAGGGGTTTCTGGTTACATATTCCATGGGCATTCCCCATTGGACCTGGGAGTAGACTAAAGCAAAAACATACACGTTTACATTGGCTCTCAGGTCCAGGACACACCCACATAAAACAAGCTAATCCCTCCTCTGTACATGGGATATAATGGAGTCAGGAACTGTACTAAACTCACTTATCTCCACTCACAGAAAACACACATTTTACAACCTCCCAAACACATGAAAACCTCAAAACAGTCACTTCCCCTGATAGTCCTGACCTGGAGGGACCAACATTTGCAAAAATCACTGATATTGATTCAGGGGTTTGGGATTTCCATGGAAGTCATAATTTGACCGACTGCACTCGATGCTCCTGCCCAAAAGAGTTCCATGAAATCAGACTGTGCGGCCGGTCTCTTTCGAGAGTACAAAATACAACATTATACTGAACAGAACGATACACAATATATAGATAAGATGGCGCAAAAATACAATATATAAGAAATAAGATAAAATTTGATATGCAGCACCCGCTATAAACCTTGGAATAAGATACAGATAATAGATAACAAAAGTGCTAGTGCTCAAGTGTTTCTTATGCATCATAAAGTGCTTTTTAAAGTATATAAAAAGTGGAAATATTAACCCACAAAAAAAAACCACCTAGAAAAACACACGTGCATATACTTGTATATGCACGTGTGGTTTCTGTGTGTTTTTATTGTGGGTTAATATCATCTCTACTTTTTATTAACCCACAATAAAAACACATAGAAAAACACACATGTGCATTTACATGTGTTTTTATTATGGGTTAATATCTCCACTTTTTATATACTTAAAAAGCACTTTATGATGCATAAGAACACTTGAGGTGTTTTTCTTTGAAAATTTTGAGCACTAGCACTTTTGTTATCTAATACCGAACAGAACGCTCTTCTCATACGATTACGAACGCCACTGAACATACTTGGAGATACTTGGGTTAAATACACTCTACGACCAAAAACCGCTATACGTGTTCGCGGGAACAAGATGGCCGCCACCTAGTGTTTGTACATCCGAACGGCAGCCACCCAGCCAACCGTTTAGAATGTTGCAGTAAACAAGGTCAATAAGCAGCACGTCTACCACGGGTGGTCGAACAGTTCAGGAGTTGGTTCGGTATAGGAACAGAATATGCCTGATCCATTCGGTAAGTCCTATATGTCGAACCAGAAAAGGGAAAAGGCACGAACAAAGCCTTTTCACAATCCTGAACCAAAGTCTAACACCTGAGCTATAGTCCTGAGGTAAGAGGCTGGCCAACAGGCCCCTCCAAGCACCCATGACGAGGTTCAGTTTGTCACAATTGTTTTATGTTATGTCCATTATTACACACTACAGGGTACAATGAATCTAGACTACCTGTGAAGTTGTCGCACTTGACGTTTATATGTTCAGTGTTTCTTAATGTATGACAACACAGTACTCAAAGGGGACCTTGTATTGTGTACCATTAATGAGATGCTTATAACACATGCTCTGTACACTGTACTAAATGTGTTCATTGTTTTTCACCTATGCAAAAATATAATAAAATTGAGATATTGAAAAAAAAAATAGGGGGTGGGGTCTGACTGTCATGGTTGATGGATGCATCTCGAACTAGCTCCTTCACAATACTGCTGTAACAGGCATATTCCGCCTTCCCTGAGCTTGAACCTAGATAAATCTAATGAGGTCTATACTCCTTGACTCACCTGATATCCCGTGCAGCAGTCAGCAGCTGATCAAAAATCCACTAACCCCACTGTGGCAAATGCGGCCTAGCGCATGCCGGAGAGGAAAGGCTGCAGACTTCCCGGTATGAAGGACACTGATACCTGTGAACGTGTGCCCTGTTAACCCACCCCCCTGGAACGGTGGGGGTGACCCTGGTCCACTCCTCGGGGGCCACTCGTACTTGCCAAGACCGAATGGTAAAGCCTTCAAAGCTAGAAAACTCTCCTGCGGTCCACTTAATATGGCGGCGACCACATGTCTCCCCACTCCCGGTGTTGAGCAAATTGATGTCGAAGCCAAAATAGACAGACACTTCGCTGATTTCTGGAGACGGCTAGAAAGCAGGCTCTGTGAGCAATGACACAATCATGCTCCACAGTGGCTGTGTTAACGACTACCCCACAGTATCCAGCCACGCTCCCAGACTGGAAGATCGAACTGGGGTCGAAGGCGAAGACGCAAGGACCGCCACATAATCAGGACCGCCACATAATCAGGACCGCGAAGCACAACCTACCCTCAGACCAGCCTCAACCCAAGCCTTCTCCTGGTCTGATACGAGAGGTGAAGTCCACGAAAGGGTCTACCCGGCCACAGCGAGGCTCAATACAGTTCCTTCAGCTGACTCTCCAAATGTCTTTTTCTGAGTCCCTCCTGTCTGGCTGCTCTCTGCCATACGCTGCAAATTGCATAGAGTACCCAGCGGGAGACAGCGGTACGCACAGGAAAACCGCTGGTGCCGTGGATCCAACGCTTTGCCACTGAAGGGCGTAGGCTGAGTGGGGCTAGGACTCATAGCTCTCAAATTTGTTTTCCTCCTCATGTTTTTAGCCATAGAGAGACAAAAAAGTTAGCTTTGTTCTCCATTTTGATATCAAATATAATTTTATATTAATCACCTATGGTCCTACTGGGCTTCACGCTATTCCACTGACCCTCAATTTAGATTGTTAATAGATGTTAAAGAAGGGTCCCCTCCTGGAAGGCTGACAAGGTCAGTCAATCTATAATTTACCATAATCTTTCAACTACTTTTTAGAACTCAGGCGTGTCTTACTACAGTGTTTCTCACCTTATCTTGTTATCCCTCGTGTCTAGCTACCTTAAACCTAGCTAACTCGTCTTTCAAATATGTCTAAATATAAAAATACAGCATGAACATGTTAGTTTTATATAAAATTGTGCACTGATCTCAAATGCCTTATAACTGGTTTTCTCTGAAAGACATTTTACTTGCCTATGCTGTTGGGACATTCTAAGCTTGTGTATCTTTTCTGCACTACAAAAATAAAGAATTATAAATAAAAAAAATTTGCAAGGTAGGCACACTGTTAGAATTAGAGTAACCATTAGGTAAGTGGTATGGCTGGTTTAGAGTTGGGGAGTGGCGACATAAGGTTACCATTATCTACCAAAAATTAATTTAGAGCCTAGACATATTAGGCATTTCAAAATCAATACTGATATATTAATCTATTTTCAGCTCTCTTTTAATTTGTTGCACTGGATGTGTAAAAATTATAAGCATAAATGTGTCCCCCCCCCACGTTATTCACAAGTAATATTAGGTATAAAAGTATAGGATAGTAAATCAAAGTGGGTTAATCTCATAAGAACGGACATTAGGTTTTTAGAGTCGGACCTGCCAAAGATGGGGTACATTGACGTTATGGCAGGATTATGCAGAAACTCCAAGGCCATATTTAACCTTGTACTGCATGGTGCCTACAGAGTGTCCCTTTATAGAGAAACCCTTAAATGAACACTAGGAACCCAGACCACTTCAGCTCAATGAAGTGGTCTGGGTGCCAGGTCCATCTAGGATTAACCTTGCCTGCCGTAAACATAGCAGTTTCAGAGAAACTGCTATGTTTACATATGGGTTAATCCAGCCTCTAGTGGCTGTCTCATTGAGGGTGGGGGCACCCTCAAGGCACTATAGTGCCAGGAAAACGAGTTTGATTTCCTGGCACTATAGTGGTCCTTTAAATTACGGTGCAAATACAAGATTTTTTTTTTTTTGTTCAAATCGTGGACAATTACCTCCATCCTTAAGGAGTAAAAGTATCACCCATATCAAAATGTAAGTTATGTAAAGTAATCCCAGGATCATAGCCTATGCCGAACTGTGTCTATCCTAACCTTTGGGTTAAGGTTATGGATAGTTTTAACCACAAACAACACAAAACTTAGGGATACGGCTGAAAGTGAATCTTAAAAGAACATAAAAATATACAAAATAGTGAAGTACAATTAACACACTTTTATGCGCTGTATATAGATGCACTCACAAGATTGTTTGGAATATATCGCTCATAGGGTGCCTCCCCCGATTGAGATGGGGGCTAGTAATCCCTTGGCTCCTTTTGAAAGTCCTTAATAATGCTCAGGACTCCAGACAGGCAATGGTAGGAAAAAAGGATTTTGTTGATAAAAGGTGAATAGTCACCATCAATATAAAATATAATTAAAAGGAAAAACGGTATGGTCCTACGCGTTTCGTTCTGTAAAGAACTTCATCAGGGACCATATATAAAATAAAATCAATATACAATCATAACATATAAAAAAAAATCTCCTATTCCCCCCATTCCCAAGTCCTCTTTAATTAGGGCTAATCCCTATGTCCATTGGTGGTTCCGTGAGTGGTGTCCAGTATCCGTCACTTGATTGGTTCCGTGGGGGAGCTGTTCAGCTGTTTCCCATCCTTCTCGCATTGCTGTAATTAAAATTGGCGCATTCGGATAACCGGAACCGGAAGTATGGGTTGTACCGCACTTCCGCGTTCCACATGCGGCTCATATGCGTTCCACTTCAACATTATTATATGATCACAAAATTCAATAAAGAGCAATATATTCAATCTACTAGAGAAAAATGGTATTAGTAACTTCATCATTTGCATATTTTTTATATAATTAAGCTTATAACAAATCACCATTATTTAATTGCTATAATCAAACAGTGAAAAAAAAAAGGTATTTATAGAATGAGAAATGTACAAACATACATATTTTTTTGGTTACATATAATCCAATCACCAAAATTGTTTTTCTTTCCTTCTTCTCTTTCTTTTTGTAATATTTAAAGTGTAATATACACAATTAAACTATGTGGTATATATTAATACTCATTAATTATTATGTAATTAGTGCCAAAGTGCTAATATAGAAATAATAATAAATAAATCAATCTTATAATGTTCCTATAAAAATCTCCAATATTAAGTGGAGTTACACATATATCTAATATTTCAAATAATTGTAATATGGACGTATTTTAACCCATTATTTTCTTATTTTTTGTCAAATGACAATAACCCCAAAAAAATACATAAAACATAAAAGTGTTTGAAATAAGTAATTATATGGATCTTAGTCCAAAAAACAAACCAAGTCAATGCCTATATGAAGAACCTTTGGTTCTAAGGTACTTAACCTATGTATCCAGAAGGTTTCCCTCTGGGATAATTTCTTAACCCTATCACCCCCTCGCCAGAATGGAAAAACTCTTTCAATACCCATAAACTTAAATTCCCTAAGGGAGAAAGAAGGACAATTAGAACAGTGAGCCGAAACAGAATGGGTTATGATTTTTTTCCTAATATTGTTTAAATGTTCAAGTATTCTGACCTTTAAAATCCTTTTTGTGCGTCCCACATACTGTTTGCCACACGGACATTGCAGTAAATAAACTACATAGTCCGTGTGGCAGCTAATCTCAGATTTCACTGCAACTCATTATTGGAGGATAAAGGTAGTGTAAATGAAAATAATATAAACTTTAAATCATCCTTTATAACCCAATATAATACTGATCATCATAAAATTAAAAAGAGCCTACAGGAATTCTGGCCCATCTTGCTTCAGGACCCAGTTCTAGGAAGGTCTTTATCAGACCGCCCTATGGTGATCTATAAAAAGAATAAGAATCTTAAGAATCTACTGGCTCCTAGCTATGCCATCAAACACCCTAACACCAACATTTCTCCAGCCTTTGGTTCTTTTAGAGGCTGTGGAACTTGTAAAGCCTGTACTACTACATCGTTGTTAAGAACTAAGGATTTTTGTAGTAACACCACAGGGGAAATTTTCAAAGTGAAAAATATTAGGAAAAAAATCATAACCCATTCTGTTTCGGCTCACTGTTCTAATTGTCCTTCTTTCTCCCTTAGGGAATTTAAGTTTATGGGTATTGAAAGAGTTTTTCCATTCTGGCGAGGGAGTGATAGGGTTAAGAAATTATCCCAGAGGGAAACCTTCTGGATACATAGGTTAAGTACCTTAGAACCAAAGGGTCTTAATATAGGCATTGACTTGGTTTGTTTTTTGGACTAAGATCCATATAATTACTTATTTCAAACACTTATGTTTTATGTATTTTTTGGGGGTTATTGTCATTTGAATTCTAATAACAAAAAATAAGAAAATAATGGGTTAAAATACGTCCATATTACAATTATTTGAAATATTAGATATATATGTAACTCCACTTAATATTGGAGATTTTTATAGGAACATTATAAGATTTATTTATTTATTATTATTTCTATATTAGCACTTTGGCACTAATTACATATTAATAATTAATGAGTATTAATATATACCACATAGTTTAATTGTGTATATTACACTTTAAATATTCCAAAAAGAAAGAGAAGAAGGAAAGAAAAACTATTTTGGTGATTGGATTATATGTAACAAAAAAAATATGTATGTTTGTACATTTCTCATTCTATAAATACCTTTTTTTTTCACTGTTTGACTATAGCAATTAAACAATGGTGATGTTATAAGCTTAATTATATAAAAAATATGCAAATGATGAAGTTACTAATACCATTTTTCTCTAGTAGATTGAATATATTGCTCTTTATTGAATTTGTGATCATATAATAATGTTGAAGTGGAACGAAGGTGGAACGCATATGAGCCGCAGGTGGAACGCGAAAGTGCGGTACAACCCATACTTCTGGTTCCAGTTATCCGAATGCGCCAATTTTGATTACAGCAATGCGAGAAGGATGGGAAACAACTGAACAGCTCCCCCACGGAACCAATCAAGTGACGGATACTGGACACCACCCACGGAACCACCAATGGACATAGGGATTAGCCCTATTTAAAGAGGACTTGGGAATGTGGGGGAATAGGAGATTTTTTTTTATATGTTATGATTGTATATTGATTTTATTTTATATACGGTCCCTGATGAAGTTCTTTACAGAACGAAACGCGTGGGACCATACCATTTTTCCTTTTAATTATATTTTATATTGATGGTGACTATTCACCTTTTATCAATAAAATCCTTTTTTCCTACCATTGCCCGTCTGGAGTCCTGAGCATTATTAAAGACTTTCAAAAGGAGCCAGGGGATTACTAGCCCCCCATCTCAATCGGGGGAGGCACCCTATGAGCGATATATCCTACACAATCTTGTGAGTGCATCTATATACAGCGCATAAAAGTGTGTTAATTGTACTTCACTATTTTGTATATTTTTATGTTCTTTTCAGATTCACTTTCAGCCGTATCCCAAAGTTTTGTGTTGTTTGTGGTTATCTATATATGAAAAGGTCGTCTTTTTTGGGTAACGATCTTGGGAGGCTGCACTATAATATTTAAGTTAAGTATTTGTATATATTTCACTACGGTTTCTATCTATAGTAGTGTTTATATTGTTTTGTACTATATGGATAGTTTTATGCTTATACACCCTGTTCCAAATTATGCAAATTCTATTTAAGTGTCACAAAGATTAAATATTTAGTTTTTCAGTTTAACTTTTGTTTGGCACTGTGTCTCAGGGCTCTTTTGATCACTGAAAACAATCTCGGACACCTGTGATAATTAGATTGCCAGGTGAGCCCAATTAAAGGAAAAACTACTAAAGGAGGGTGTTCCACATTATTAAGCAGAGCACCATTTTCATGCAATATGGGGAAGAAAAAGGATCGCTCTCCTGCCGAAAAGAGTGAAATAGTTCAATGCCTTGCACGAGGTATGAAAACATTAGATATTTCACGAAAACTTAAGCGTGATCATCGCACTATTAAGAGATTTGTGGCTGATTCAGAGCAAAGACTGGTTCATGCAGATAAAGGCATATTGAGGAAGATTTCTGCCAGATCCATGCATCGGATCACAGAGCAGCTGCTAAAAACAGATAACTGAAGCTGTTGGTGCCTCTGGAGTCCCACGGACATCAAGGTGTAGAGTCCTCCAGAGTCTTGCAACCATGCAAAAACCTTCTATTCGGCCACCACTAACCAATGCTCACAAGCAGAAACGGCTGCATTGGGCAGAAAAATACATGAAGACTAATTTTCAAACAGTCCTGTTCACTGATGAGTGCCGTGCAACCCTGGATGGTCCAGATGGATGGAGTAGTGGATGGTTGATGGACGGCCACCCTGTTCCAACAAGGCTGCGACGTCAGCAAGGCGGTGGTGAAGTCATGTTTTGGGCCGGAATCATGGGAAGAGAGCTGGTCGGCCCCTTTAGGGTCCCAGAAGGTGTAAAGATGACCTCTGCAAAGTATGTGGAGTTTCTGACTGACCACTTTCTTCCCTGGTACAGAAGGAAGAACTATGCTTTCCGTAATAAAATCATCTTCATGCATGACAATGCACCATCTCATGCTGCAAAGAATACCTCTGCATCAATGGCTGCTATGGGGATAAAAGGAGAGAAAGTCACGGTGTGGCCTCCATCCTCCCCTGACCGAAATCCTATTGAGAACCTTTGGAGCATCCTCAAGCAAAGATATATGAGGGTGGGAGGCAGTTTACATCCAAACAGTAGTTCTGGGAGGCTATTGTGACATCTTGCAAACAAATTCAAGCAGAAACTGTCCAAAAACTCACAAGTTCAATGGATGCAAGACTTGTGAAGCTGCTATCAAATAAGGGGTCCTATATTAAAATGTTTTAAAAGTCAAAATGTTGTTATAAGTTTGATTGATAGCTTTTGATTTCAGTAAATATGCTGCAAACACAACAAATGACAATTGTCACTTCTTTACAACCTATAAAGTGTTTTATAAGTCATTGTAAGTTTATTTAAGTTTAAAAAAATACTGTTAGCATTAGGTTTGTTCAATAAAATTTGAATTGTACTCAATAGTTGATAACATGAGAATTACGCTGACTGTTATTTACATAAATTATTTAGGTAAATGAGAAAAATATAATTTGCATAATAATTTGGAACAGGGTGTATAGGATGCAGGCTTTGAGGCTACGCTGATGCAACAAAGGGCTGCACGTGCAACCCATAGTATGAGGGGTGCAAAGCATCCTATCCATGAAGGCAAGGGTAGCCTCAAGAGCAGTCATGCCAGCCAGCTGCCTGCAAATGCAGTGTATGTTTGTGAAGCTCTGTAAAGGAACATCCAGACAGAGGACGATATACTAGTTATGCTAAACGGGGGCCGGTGGAGAGATAAAAGTAACGGGAGTGACAAGAACAGAGGCTCTATCTGTGAATGTGAGTATGTGCCTAAATGTACAACGGAGTGTGTTAATGTGTACACCTGTGATTGATGTATGACAGTGAGTCTGTATGTGTGTATCCATGTCTGTGCATTTCTGAGTGTTTTAGAATGTTTCCTGGTGTGTGCATCTGTGTGGTGATTTACTGGTATGTTTCCATGTATAAGACTATATTTTTTTCTAAATTCTTTTAGTCTAAAATTGGGGGTCGTCTTATACACGGAATGCCACTGCAGGGGCTAAAAAAAACAAAGTGTTGTGCACGGGACCCAAGCCAAGATGGCACTTGATGCGTTTCAGTGTGCCACTGCCAACATGCATACCTGGCCTCCCTCTTGCTGATCCACTTCTGAATGATGTGGCAAGGAGGAAGAGGTCCCTATACGAGTTGGAGCTGCAGCAGAGTCAGCATTTACCACCAACGGAGTTTCAGAGACATGCCACACCCTAAAAGGAGCAGCCATATTAAGGTATGCTCCACCACAGGTAGGTCTTGCTTTCTGATTTATATTTATGGTGGAGGAAATGGTGATCAGGAAGCTGACGGAATACGGCTGTGATGTCCCTGCATGCCCTCAAACCACCTGCTGTATTGTGGGAACTGTAGTCTCCCACCATGCACGATGGAGACATTAAAGGACCACTCTAGGCACCCAGACCAGGCACTCAGCTTAATGAAGTGGTCTGGGTGCCAGGTCCAGCTAGGGTTAACCCATGTTTTAATAAACATAGCAGTTTCAGAGAAACTGCTATGTTTGTTAATTGGTTAAGCCTTCCCCCAAAGCCTCTAGTGGCTGTCTCATTGACAGCCACTAGAGGCGCTTGCCTGCTTCTCACTGTGATTTTCACAGTGAGAGCACGCCAGCGTCCATAGGAAAGCATTGCAAATGCTTTCCTATGCGACCGGCTGAATGCGCGCGCAGCTCTTGCCGAGCATGCGCATTCAGCCAACGGGCGGAACGGAGGAGGAGAGCTCTCCGCCCAGCGCTGGAAAAAGGTAAGTTTAAACCCCTTTCCCCCTTCCACAGCCGGGCGGGAGGGGGACCCTGAGGGTGGGGGCACCCTCAGGGCACTATAGTGCCAGGAAAACGAGTATGTTTTCCTGGCACTATAGTGGTCCTTTAACTTCACAGAGTGGCATAGATCAGGGGAGGCATGAGAATCAGAAGTGTGTTGTTCTCCTCAGAAGTCACCTCTAAGATATCAAAGTTCAATACTTTTCTCTCAATTATTGGCTCAAAAAAAATAGGGGTCGTCTAATACACAGAAAAATATGGTAATTTAAAAGGGACACATAGAACCAGAACCACTACAGCTTAATGTACTGGTTTTGGCACAAAGTCCTTATTCCTACACGGAATACACTACCTTTTTCTAAGGACAGCTCTAGAGCTGACACTCCAACAGCAACTAAATGTGCGCCCTATTACGGTTGCGCAATCTTTGCATGATTGACATTCAATACCTTTAAAGAGCACCTGTTACGTCCCAAACAGGATTTTATCTATACACTGTGCTAACAAATGTATAAATTATGAGACAAACCTATCTAAAAATATGTTTTTATCCTAGCTGTCAGTAAATGCCTCTGCATGCCGAGGCATTGACTGAAAAGGGGGGCAGTAAAGACCTCCCAACAGAATGTCCCTTGGCTCTCCTCCCATAGCAACCAAAGCGAATGCACTACAGTTGCTAAGGAATCTTCCTAGCGTTGGCTAGAGAGCATAGGAGCGGGGTGACGTCACTCCTTTTTGGCACAAGCATGCCAATGTCACTGACGCGATTTGCCCTCATTGGGGGATACATCTCAAGCAGGACAAATCAAAGAAGAATAGAGGCGGAGGAGCGTAGGCAGAGGAGGCGAAGATGGCCAGGAGGTGGGTGTTACACGAATAGGCGCTGTAATGGAAGTAAAGTGAGTAAATCTTTATATTTTACATTGAACACACATGTATACATAGCTAAAAAAAAAAAAAATGTGTCCATCAAGTTTAGCCTCTCTCACATTTGTTTTTCCTGTTTAATGCAATATAAGGCAAAATCCGAGTTTGAAGTGCAATTTTGCAACAAATTATGGAAAAAAAATTCTTCTTGACTCCAGAATGGCAGATTTATCTTTGAATTAAGAAGCTTTTACCCTACAAATTAGAATTGATGTCCCTGTATATTATTATTTTTAAGTATTTATCCAATTTCTGTTTAAATATCCGTATAGCCTCTGATAAAATCTTCTGTCGAGGCAGAGAATTCCACATCCTTATTGATCTTAATGTAAAAATACTTTTTCCTTTGCTTAGACTAAATCTTCTTTCTTCCAGTCTAAATGCCTGACCTTGTGTCCTATTTATGAATAGATTTCCAGACAATAGTTTGTATTGGCCCCAATTGGGATTTGTATAATGCTATCATAACGCAGGGCTTGACAGATCCCAGGCGCCAGGTCGCCATGGCGACTAAGAATTTTTTCATGGCGCCGGGGATTTGTCAGTCCGTCCCTTCCACCTCCTCTCTCTATCTCTGCGCGCCGGGAGGAAGTGAAGTGAACTGTAACTACTTCTTCCCGGTGCTGAGACCGCGCAGGAGAAGGAAAAGCTGACAGGGAAACAGGTTGAGATGTCTCTGGTCGCAGAGCCACCCAATCTGCAGAGCCGCTCGCACGCACGCTAGCCTGCCCATTCCCCTGCGCTGGTTCAGCGTCAAAAGGAAGTAAAGTTCCTTTCACTTCCTCCCGGCACACTGAGATAACAGAGACAGGAGAGTAGGAGTCTGGATCAGCGGCAGCCCACTCCTATCAGCTGCATCCAGCCCCACTGGACCCAAGAAAAGCCCCTCCTGCGCCCACGAGGTAAGAGGAGGGTGGTAATATATGTATTTATCTTTTTTCTGTGTGTGTGTGTGTATGTCTGCATATTTGTCTGTGTGTATCTCTGTGTATATAAAAAAAAATACTTTGAGAGTGTGTTTACATATATCTGTGAGTGTGTCTGTCTGTGTATATGTGTGCCTGTTTCCGTCTGTCAATGCATGTACATGTTTAGGTCACATGGGAATGGTGCTTTTACTTACCGTTTTTCCAATTACGTGCCCGTCTCACTGCGGCTGGCACACCTCCATAGCTGAGATAATTTTGGTGATCTCAGCAAATCCAATGCTTTTCCATAGGAAAGCATTGTGAAGCTATTGAGCATGTGCCGCAAAATGCCGGACTAATCAGCATCTCCTCATAGAGATGCTTTAAATCCATGCATCTCTATGGGGAACGTTCAGCTCCTCTATGCAATATACAATTCTTAAAGGAACAGGCTATAGACACCATAACTACATTAAGTTACAGTGGTTCTGGTGACTATAGTGTTCCTTTAAGAATCGTATTTTTTGTCGTTTGAAAAAAATAAATGGCTCCTAACTTTTTTAGCAAATTGATAAATTGGTTAACTTGCTAAATGCTCCATTCCTTTTATCAATTTTGTAGCCTGCCTCTGGACTGTTTCTAGTGCCATAATATCCTTCTTTAGAACAGGTGCCCAAAAGTGTGGTCATCCAGTAAATAGTAAAAGAGGCAAAATTATATTTTCATCCCGAGAATTAATGTCCCTATTTAAACAGAATACCTTACTGACCTAGCTGCCGATTGACATTGCATATCGTTGCCTAGTTTGTTTTGTATAACAATTCCGAAATCCTTCTTGTGTTGTTATCCCTAATTTACTACAATTTAGAGTGTAAGTGACTTGTGCATTCCCCCCCCCCCCTCAAGTGCATAACTTTGCATTTTTCTATATTTAATTTAATCTGCCATTTGAGTGCCCATTCCCCCAATTTATATAAATCCCTCTGCAGCAAAGCAATATCCTACCCACACATCGACTGCAAAATCCTGATCTAGACTTCTGCTTACTTCTTTGTAGAATGCAATTAGGTTAGTTTGACATGACCTATGTTTCATAAAACCATGCCGATTATTGCCAATAACAATGTTCTTCCCAATAAATTCCTGAATTGTATCCCTTAATAACCCCTCAAATACTTTCCCAGCCACAAAAGTTATGCTCACATGTATCTCTACGATATATAATCAATGTATATGAAAGTGATTTGAATAATTATTTTATTACATTACAGGTTCACTATAAGCTCAGAACGAAGATGGTGAACGTTCCCCATAGAAATCCCCTGGTATAATGTAACTGTGAAGATTCTTAATGGCACAGTGCGCCAATTGTCACACTTCTATGAAGAAGCATTGGATTTGTCACTGATGACCTCCATGATGGATGGAAAGTTGGGTGCAGTGAGAAATTGAGGTGGTTAAACAATGCCCACATGGGGCACAAACAAACCCCCCCCCCCAAAAAAAAACACCCTGGTCACCAACATTTGATTCACCACCGGAATGCACCATATATTTTCTACACAATCAGCATTTTATCTGTATGGTTTTGACATGGGCAACATATTTAATACATATTTTTGATGCTAAAGATATTTCTGTGACATTGCTTCACAAAGGGGCACAAAGAACAAGTCAATGCAATCAGTTAATGTCTTAATTATATCCAAGAGGACTAACTAATTACTTCCTACTTTTAATAAAGGACATATTTAATCCACCAAACTTCACAATAAGTAGCAGAATTTGACCAAAAAGCATCTCAACACAAAAACAGAAAAGAATCATCAGAATAAGCATTTGCTATAAGTCCAGATTGTGGCCAAAAAAAGAAACAAATGCACAGAAAACACAACTGAAATAAAAGCGCCTAAAATTCAGATACATTTTAAATGCTATCAAGTTAGAAACAAGCATACACCACTACAATTACATAGTATATACAGTGAAAAAACACAGGCAATGAGACAGTTATATACACTATGATTAATAATACGAGCAAAAAAGCCATGTATCCTAAAATTGATGACTTGTTGTGGCAGATTTTATAGTTCTGTTTTTAAATGCATTTACCCATTAAATAGTTTTTTTTGGTATACAGTATTGCACTCTCTTTTTTTTAAACATCATTAGAGGTCCCAAATCGCAAGATACCTATTGGGACAAGACGCCACTTCTGGCTATACACTAAGAGGAAATGTGCCTACTTTTCAGTACTATCTTGTGTGTTCTACTTCCCCCTTCCCCACACTGATTCAAACTATATCACACTATTTTGAGTTTCATTTTCTCTCCTAGATTGCAATATATTATTATTTATACTATTTAATTTACCAGGTTGTATATTTATATTATTTGATTTACTTCTTTGCAGAGCTTTGCTTTTTAGTTATACATATTTTTTGGTTTTGTATGTTTTATGGGGTGTTCGTGAGACATTATCGGTTAGCCTTAGTTTTATACTTTTTGATGCTCCGTTTATTTGATGACAGCTGGTGTCTAACTTTCCTTACTTTAAAAAGGCAACACAGCAAAACATATTCACTTGTACCTACCTACCTTGCTCTTATGTATACTAATGCAAGTTATTTAAATATATAAAGAAAATTACTGCCATGAAACAATACTTTGGGAAAAGAAATCTATTTCAACAAGTGCATTGATAGTAGCAGGTGTATAAATGAATAGTATTTACTAATATTTGTTCACTCTGGATAAGGGCACTACATAAAGGTTAAACAATCATTTGTAAACGGGACTTTAGATGGCAATTATGTTCATTCACATGACTCTACTGTGACTTAATTCAACAACAGACAATCCCCCAATTAAAAAGAGAACTATATACACCAATTATTTTTAAATTTAACAGGTATGTTTACAGACTTCAGAGACAGTTCTCAAACGACCTGCACTCTTGTGAAACTAACCAAATCCCCATCTGTAAATGGTCAGTCAATGCTAAAGACCAAACCAAAAATACATGATGTCATGCAATCACCCAATGCATTTTACTTCTGTGACAATTAATATCATGCTCCTCTTCTATAATTGTCTCCCACATTCACCTGTCTTATGTCCTTTGTTGCGCTGGTTAAATGGTCAATAACTGAGATTTTAATCAAGTACTTTCAGTCAGCCTACTTGTACTACATATGCCAATAGTACCAAGGAACGCATTACCAAGGCAATCAGTAGATAATTCTTGGTAAAATTCAAATATAAGATTCATGAAATCATGGTACATCGATTTCATGTATTTTCCACCCCTAACATTATGACAAATTGGTAAATGTATTAAATAGCTGCATTGTCTTTCACCTTTGAACGTAACCTTCTAGGTCTCAGATTACCACCCTGCTACTCATAAGAACTCTGTTTTCTCAAATCTTTGAATTGGAGCTCTACACTACATTCCTTTTTATTTATATATATATATATATTTTTTAAAGAATGTTGCCATAAGATGCCTTTTATACACAATTATAATAATTCTGCTCTCACAAACCTAGGAGACGTAAGTCCCCTTAACGTCATTGATCATTCTTGTATCAACATTTTAAATTATTATTATTATAATTCAGATCTGCAGCAACCCTGTGCAAGAATGACAAATGTGTTGTCGCTTCTTTTTACTTATATTAAATTTTTATGTTTACAATTCTTAGCATCAACTCTGTGCAAGAATATTAATAATCTGAATATTTTATATTAATTTAGGGATTTATTTTTTAAATAAATGTTTTTTTTAAATCTCTCCTTGTGGCAACAACACTGTATGGCTTAATGAGTACAAAGGGAAGGTTTCCCAAACACAACATCAATTGACCAGAGATACCTCGACCTTACCAGCTAATGGTATAATTATTGTGTGTGAGTATGGGGGGGGGGGGAATATTTTGATTATTACTCCCCCCATTGTTGTAATACCCTGAGTAATGATAGCACAGACACTCCATAGGGCTGCATTGACAGATAATAATAATAATAATTAGCACGGCCTGCACACAATGTCCTCCATAACCCGGGCGGTGCTGTAATAATACCCTCTCTCTGTGTGTATTGTTATTATGGTGTATTGATTATGTATTGATTATATCCATGGCGAGCTGTGCTGGCCGCACGGTTCCCTATTAATCAGCAGGTACACTCGGTGAAGAAGCTTACTGTTATATCTGCCCAACAAGCTCTTGTCACCCGTGCCAGCACGAGAGGTGTCCGCGGTTGGCCCGCAGCTTGTCACCTAATCCTCCCGTCTGCCTCTCCGGCTCCTATCCGCCTGATCCCGAGAACAGGCCGCAGCTGACCATGAGCCCGCCCCCCTCGGAGAATCCGATTGGCTGACAGCGGTCGTCGTTCTCACAGCGCGGCGACGCGATTGGACGAGACGCCGAGGCCCAGCCCTTCTTCCTGTAACCAACAATGTTGTCGTTTACCTTTGGTCAAAGGAGGAGGGTGGGGGGGGTAATATGACATGGCCCCGCCCACTTTTTTTCCCCAACGCCGAGCGCTGGTGTGACGTCAAAACCAGGAAGACGCGATCACGTTGGATTGACCAATCAGCGACGGCGACACTTCCACGCCTATAAATAGAGAGCTATCGCTGAACGTCCGTCATTGGGCGATGCTGTTTGTAGGGTTGAGCGCTGTGCTGTCTAGCGGCCACGCCCACTTCCAATTCAGCGGAAGTGGGGACGTGCCGAAGCGCACAGCTGATTGAAGGGGGAGGGGTGGTGGTATCGAAGCGCTGAGAATAAACCAGAGTTGGGGGGGAGGGAGTGAATGCGCTTTAATGTCGGTTTGGCCGTTAAATCGCCGGGATGGGCGATACTAGAATACCGAGCTCCCCCGTGACTGGCGGAGGGAGGGCTGGGAATCCGAGGGGGTTTATTAATCGCTCAGGGGCGGGGCTGCGGCCATTTTGTAAACGAGCCCATGTTTATTGATCTGCATACAGAACAGGGAGAGCGTGTGGAAAATGTACTCCGCATTGTTCGTGTCCTCCATGGCCAACATGGGCCACTTACTCAGTCTGTGTGTGTTTATCGGGGAATAGGGCAATATCAGCAGCCTACATTCATTGGGAGACCTGTTTGTGTAATCCAGCTCTGTGTATAGACACATTTAATTAATGGCTACCTATTAATGTCTGCATTCAACATAATTTAATCAGAGAGAAGTACTGCTATAATCTATCATGCTGCCCACCCACCAAAGAAATCAGAACGGGTTGCACAGAATTCTAGAGAGAATGCCGCACATTGCAATGATATTCGGTGTTCGACAGGGCTTTGTTATTGATGGCCACCAGCATGGCAGTAAATCGTCAGATAACAGCAGTATTTAATATAAATTGTAGTGCAGTTTTAAATATCATAATTTCATATAAACAGAAGCTGAACACACGGGTGATGGATGAACTGAAAAAACCCAAAAACAGCATGGTTAATGGGATAACTAATAATTTATTGTGGACTTATTATTTATTGTATTTATATTTTTTCTTCATCCTTGTGTATATAATCAAGCACTGTAGTAGCCAGGCAAGATTTCAAGTGTGAAATACCTGCAGAAAGTTATGAAGATCCTGGAGGCGGATCAAACCTTGTTTGGACTGCAGTGATACTTTGAGTTCTGAGGTGGTTAACAAAAAGCCAAGTTTTATATTTTAGACATTTTGACTTGTAGTGTACGGTTTTTGATTAGTACTCATTTTGTCGGTTAGTATGTAATGGCATGGAGTCAAGCATGCGTTGTGGAAGAATGTGGTTAGGTTTCCATTATTCTTCAAATTGTTATGGGCATGCATTGATCATTCTTGTATCAGAACCATCTTGTGAACAGTGGAAATTTTAAAGGAAACGTCTGAATATAATACACTAGCCTGCTAAACTGCTTGATGTGGGAAGTGTTTTTTTTTTTTTTTGTTTTTTTTTCCTGTATTTTTAAATAAATAACTTTACAAACTGTGCAGAATTCAGTAGAAATTGGAACTCTTGTAAATTAACCATGCTTTTTGCATAAGCCGCCTTCAGGATTGGCAGTCAGCCTGGTGTGCCTTCATGCATAGCTCACTGTTCTTGGGATGGACTCTCTTGCTTTGGTCACTTTACCAGCCTTCTCCCTTGTACTGTGGTGTCCTACTTTACAGGATACCTATGTTGAGGAGGAACGGGTATGTAGTTATAGTGAAAAACTGATCAACATGTAGGTTATTGGCAAGGTAGTTATGCTACAAGCACTTATAAGAAAACCATCCAGCATAAGCAATTTTGTATCGAACTTTTAGTAAAAATTACTGGATTTGCTATTCAAAAATTTAATAATGGCAATCCATTACAATTCGGTACAAAGGAGCACAATACAACTGGAACCATTCAGAGTACAATACAACTGGAACCATTCAGAGTCTGATTTTAAATTTTTATTTTTAAGCAAACCTTAAATATAGAAATCGTATCATATGTATCAATCTGTTTACCAGTTCTTTCCTGTATATTAGGAAAGTCTGATAAATATGTTCATACAGGTGCACTTATTAAAATCTAGACAGTTTGCCAACTGGCAGAGCTAGCAGCAAGAGGGCAAATTAATGGGGGTCCCCCAATAAATGACTGTGGGGGCAATTCACAAAGACTTTGTAATAAAAAAAGCAAATGCTGAAATGCGTTTAAATCATTTCAGCTCATTTCTGTGTTGCTTGAGTGCCACAGAAGGGGATCATTAGTGGAGCCTGGCAGAAGAATGGAGGCAGGTCACTTCTGCTTCAGATTCAACCCCCCAAAAAAAGAAAACAGAAAAGGTGCGCAGGGTGTGTTACAAGAGGGGCGTAAGAGCTGAGACCAGTTATTACTGCCCTGATGGCCCCTCTCCGCCCTGCCCTATTTATTGCCCACTGTTTTAAAATTTTCCACACCCAGTTAAGTAGACCAGTTTTGGGATGTGATTTTAGTCATCTGTCTGGTTATCGAATCTTGGTTTTGTCTCCCGATTATCCTGTCTTCTCTGATCCTTGACCTCGGCTTGTCCTATCGTTGTTCCGTTTCTCTTTACTCCTTTGACTATTCTCCGTTTGTATAGCCCGGCCATTCTAAGGACCGGTATTACAAGTTTCTTTGTTCTCTCTCTTTGTGGTCTCTTTGTTTTGGAATCCATGACAGTGTTGCTCGATAAGTACTACCCCCTGATAAGTTTATGCCAAATATTCCCCCTTTCACAGCAAATAGTATGCACTTGTTTATAATTTTGAATTTATGAGGTGTGTGTGTATTGATATGGCCTTTGAGATAATTTGCAATCCTGAGCTGGTAAGATGAGACTTGGGCCCAGCATCCACTCTTGAATAATATGGAATTGGTGTCTCAAATGTGCCCCTTCAACATCCACATATCCCTGAAAAAGGTACACATGGGAAAATTGTTGTACTAAGATGACAGAGGAGCAACAAATTAGGTGTTATACTGCTGTCGCACACAAGGATTGTAAAATATACAGTAAAATCTCCAAGTGTGTCAAAAAGGCAGAAAAAATGCTAATTGCTACTAGAATTGGTACAAACTAGAAAAAAATGATCCTACTCTAGGGTTTAGGGTCTCCTATATGGCATTGTAGCTTCATGAAATAGTGCCAAAGACATTCATTGGGAGTATCATTTTACTCAGACCTAGCTGAGCATAATTTTGGGGCTTCGAACTTACGGGCACATATGAAATATACAAATTGCCCAGCAAAAATGTAATCCATATGTAAAAAAAGCCCCACATTATTTACTACATGTTATGGCATATATTGGTGAAAAAATGGGGCATGTCAAGGCACAATATGCACCATATGAGATACCCTAGAGGGTCTATTTTTACATATGGTAGGCCTTTGTGTGTTTTTTTTTTTTTTTTTTAAGTCAGACTGCTATACCCCAAATTTGAAACATAAGCCCATCAAATCCATCTCTCAAAATTCTATTTTAAATTCTGAAATGGACAGGTCTCCTGTATAACACTGTAACTTCACAAAATAGTGCCAAAGACACAATGCGGGTATCGTACTCAGCAGATGTAGCTGAACACAATAAAGTTTTGTACAGGAATAGCACTCACCAACTTTACAAAATACACATGAGAAGATCTTTGTTATAAGTTTGTCAAAAATCCCCACATTTTTACTCCAATATTTAGCAAAGATTGGCGGTGAAATGGTTGCGTAAAAAGTGTCTAACCTTGGGTAAATGGCCTGTGATGTCTACATTATATAAATATATACTTGTGTGGCAATTGTTTTCTTTTATGGCTATTAAGCTTACAAGACAAACATACCAAATTCTAAAATGGCTCCTCATTAAGCGTTTATTTTACTCCTTGTGTTTTGTGACCTGTAACTACCAAAAAAAACTTAAAATCCTAGACACATTATAGATTCTGTAAATCAGAACTAAATCAATTTTATTTCGAATTCCTTTCCTTAACCTGCACTAATTATGCACACATTATTGCATTTTTTTAATTAAGCATTTATATATGAAACATCAAATTAAAGCCTTTTCTGTCCTTTAAAAAAGGTATTTAATGTGGTGGTGCAATAAATTAATAAAATGCAAACTGCAATTGAATGCAAGCAAAAATTGCATGCCATTAAGTGCAAGAAAAGCTTGTATTCTACAAGTTATCCTGAAAAGTTGTGTATAAAGAGTACATAATGGCTCCTAAATGTACTCAATCGAGTTATAACCGTAATGGTAAACACCCCAGAAATTACATTTCTTTAGAAAAGTTGGAAGTGATAGAGGTATGAAAAGGACGAAAACATTGCATGCATTAATAATTTACTTGACAAAGGCCTTATTTTAGTCTCTGCCAAGAATCAACATCTTTATGTTCTGCATATTACTTTTTTTTTTTTTTGGTAGATGTATGCTTAAAACATTGACTTATACATTGACATGGTAAATTGTAACTAGAAAAGCTACAATTTCTGGGGAAATTGTGTGTAGTGTTCTTGCCTCCACCAGTAGTCTACAACTGGAGTGAGCGGAGTAACTGTTATTTATTTATATAGCACATTTAATGGCAACATTGTTGCCCAAAGTTCTTCAGTTACATTAAAACATACATTCATAAAAACATTAGCAGGTGTACAAAAGGCCCTGTTTATGACATCACTTGCTGCTCTAGCCTGGCACAGGTCAGAGTATTTTGGCGGTTGCCATCTTCAAACGGTCGTATTTTAAAAACTATACATCCTACAGCGAAGAGCTTTATATTGTGAGAATCACAAGACCCAGACCTACATTTTGATGCATAGTATGTCTCTGAAGTATTAAAAATGAAGGCACAGTCACAGTTTAGAAATTGCACTTCAAATTTGAGCTTTGCAGAGTGAAGTTTCTATGAATGTCAATGGACGGAGTTAGTTGCAAACAAATGATTATATTGTGAAAACTATCAGGACTATGGCTTAGCCGTGGATTTTTAGTGGCAGCAGGGATAGCTGAAAGTTTTGATATAAGATTTGTGTAGGTGGGCTTGAAAATGAGGGAGTGGTGGCAGTTTAGAAATCATCCTGATTTTTCAGGTTTTGCCAGCTCCCACTCTAGCTTTGCCATTCATTCCTATGGGACAAATTTCGCCACAAGAACGACTATATTCCGTGAAACGTTCCACAAAGTAATAGCAATCCGATCGGGAACAATCTGCACGTTTTGGTAAATTTTGGTCTATGTTGTGTAAAAACTGTGGGAGGAGTTAGGGTGGCAAATTTGGCTATAAGAATAATATATGTGAGAACATTAAGTGGTCTTGCTATGCAAGAACACTTAATAAATCTACATTAGTGGCAAAAATTGGGAAACTTTTTTTTTTTTTTTGGGGGGGGGGGAAGAATTTGTTTTTTCTTGGCTAACTCACCACATCAGCCATCAGTCTTGTTTAGAATAAGCTATTAGAAATCTAGAAATATTATTTTAGGCAGAATATGGGGAGAAACCCCACTGAAGATAAATGGAATAGCTTCAAACAAATATTAGCAAAGTACAATCTCAGTATGTACCTCTGGGTAATAAATATAAAAAACTAATTAAAACCAATGTGGCTTAGAGAGAAAGTAAGCAAAGAGATTAATGAGAAATCGATATCCAAAGAAGGCAAAAACAACCCCTCAAAATGTAAGTACATTCTTAAAAACAAAGAGTGTAGGCACACTGAAAACAGAGATGGGTGTGTCACACTCACTCTGTGCATTTTAAATCTATTACAAAAAGGAGGGCTATTCAATAATATAGTACATGAAAAGTGATGCCTTGAATCAATTCAGTAAAAGTCTAAAGGTTTGAGGTCCTCTAGTGGTGGAACTATGAAATTCTAATTTCAGGACAAGATCCAATATGAAGTCTGGTAAGTTCAGTTGGCTGTCTTATTGCAAATAAATGAATAGAGGTTAATGCAATACAGTGATATCTTAATGTTAAAGGCGTTGTTTGCTAATGTATATTTAGGGAACCAGATTAAGCTCTCATAAAAAATAAATATATATATATATATATATATATATATATATATATATATATATATATAATTTTAAATAGATGTAATAGAAGTTTGTTGGATCACTGCAAATGTCACATTACAAGTGATTATTTCAACTTAAATTATTACTTGGAGGTAAAAAGTTGTGCCATACACTTAATCCTGGCTAACTTAATATAGATCTCTTCTGTTTGCTGCCTTTCCTCATTTTTAAGCTCTCAAGAATCCAATCAAGATATTTGTATCTGATAAGGCCTGTACACCATTGTTAATAAATAACGTGTATATACAAATGAGCATATCAATTAAAGTAAGATTCTGCAATATTGATATGAAGTTGTATAATTTTATTCACTATATCATAAATTAAATTTCTACCTGTGTAGAAAAGTGTGTGGTGTGGGTTCCCGCCCTCCCCCCCTCAATGTTTTGGCACTAATATAGAATTATCTTCTAGATAAAGAGAATTGTTTAAAGGAGTCATCAATTATTTATTTTTTTGGCCTTTAGAAAAATACGTGACATTAATTATTAGGGAGTTTATATTTTTTTTTTCAGTTTACCCATTTATTTAATTGAGAAAAAAAGATAATTTACATTTACTTACCAATTTTTAATAGAAAATTAACTTTAATAGAGTAGAAGCTGAATTGTTAAATATCAATCAGTGCTTGTAATGAATTTTGGACATTGCTTAAAGTTAAAATATCTGCATAGTCCTCAACCAAAGGGGACACGAACCCTGCCGACACTGGGAAAACCTGGGACTAAGGACTGCCCCCCCCCCCTCCCCAACCTACCTTCTACTCCCCTCATCCTAACCCTATGAGCCTTGATTCACCATTCTCTCATCCCACCCCTCTTTACCGATTGAATTGCCATCTCAATTCCCTCTCTACCCAACCCACCAAATGCGACCGACTACACAGTTTAAAGATACTTTAGATAAAGGAAATTCCAGAAATTTACATTGTATCATACAGACTTTTTTTTTTTAAATGCTGTCAAATGTACAAGGTAAGAACTGCTAAATAACACTGTAGAAGGGTAGAGACCTCTGTTAGAATAAGTAGTACACAGGGGCTTAAGAATAAAAGTAGATGTATAATGATGTAAGAGGGAGTAAGGATCTGTAGAACAGTGAACCATCCTTAGTAAAATTAGGGTTCCCACTCACTGGTGATAAACATATCTAAAGGTGTTTCAGGGGGCTGAGGAGATGGAAATAAAAGTAAATGAATAACTAAAGGTCATAGAATACCTCAGTTGGCAAAGTGGCAGAAACCAACCAACCTTCTTGGAAGAGTTTTTAGCTTGAAACTGCTGTAATTGTGTTAATGTAATTAACTGGCTAAATTACTCTATACTCTGGAGTTAGGAGAGTGAATATTCACGTGATGTTTATAAATTATGAATAAAAGGGTGAAGTGAAATTCTTAATTGAGACCCAGGGGTGATGGTGATTAAAATTCATAAATCCGTTTGGATTATTTTCTCAGTAGTCTCATGCTGAAATTCCCCTTTCTTGAATTTGTTGTAATAAGTTCCAGTGCTCTTGGGAAATATTGCATATTCTATGTTTCTATTGATTAGGTATGGATGTCTAGATTGGCATAAGTCAATAGGTTTTTCTTTTGAGAACTCCGGAATTTGACTGGGGGTCTTGTCCTTTTTATAAGGCTAGAGTTGTACTCTGACGTCTGTATGGACACATCTATATAGTAACTGAACAAAGGGACACCGGGTCTCTCTCGGTAGCGCTGTAACTCTCCCTTCAGAGTTCCAGCAATTACTATTTGCTGTTGAACATCCATGATCATGTAACATACTTTGTGTTTTTATGTATCAGTAACTAAGAATAAACCGTGTCAGATTGCGTACTAGTACTTTTCATTAATAGACATATATTAATGTTGCGAGCCCTTGACCCAAGAATTATTTATATATATATATATATATATTTTTCAATCAACTGGAGAAAGCAGAATTTATTACTCGGAATTTGGAATGAGTTGAACCACTATCATGTAGTTGGCAAACATGGTTCGCCACTGGGGTTGAGATGTTCTAGTAAGTGAATTTATATGTTGAAGGATCTGTTGCCTAAACTGTTGATTTAAAAATAAAAATAAAAAAAAAATTCTTACATATTGGAGTACGAAGCTGCATGTGATCTCTTATACAATCCGTGTTGTGCTGCAGTTTATACAATCCTGTATAGGGTATTGCTTTTTAGTCCTCATTCATTCTGCCCGTTTAGGTGGTTAATTTGCAGGTTTTGGATCGTCTGCAACTGTATAGGCTTTGTGTTTGAAAGCCATGTTTGGGGAACTCCCTGTGTTCTGTAGGCTGTGAACTAAAATGTGTCTCAAATTTTTGGATCTTCGTTCAGTTATGCTTGGGAAGTGTATTAAATTGTCTCTTAGGTCATGGCCATTGTAAAATATCTGCTACACAGATTCCAAATATTTGCCATAAGTCCCAATGCATCAAATTACTGTGTTTGTTTAGGTCTTAAAGTTCTTAGGCATGTTGCTCTGTCCTTTGGAGTTACACGTTTAAAGTCACTCTTCAGAATTTAGTTTGGATATCCCTGTGCTTTAAACCTTGCTCTAATTTCTTTTGCTTTTTGAAAAGCCTCTTTACTAGAGCAATATCTTACTAGAGCAATATCTTTTTACCATTGAATATTGGGCGAATGAAATGCCTACCTCCAACTGGAAGGGATGATGACTCTGCCAATGGAGTAAATTGTTAGACTGACTTCCTGAACGGTTCTGTTTATACTTTGCCATCGTGTGTGTTTTTTGTTTTTTATCCAAATATTCCAACGAACAGTAACCTGTACCTGTGCCACCTTAGGACATATTGCCTGTATTGTTTATCAATCATTTGCTTCAAAATTGTTTACTCCCACCAAACCAGATAGAGGTTGCCATAGCTAGGGGCACAAGCCATGCCCATCACTTTGCCCCTCAGTTGTAAATAGTAGTCCCCATTGAAAACAGTTGTGTGAATAAACTCCAATAACTCAAACAAAATGTTTAACTGAGATGTAAATTTCAGAGATCAAAAAAAAGTTTACCCATCTCGTAAGGTATTTTCAGCTAATGAATTATTCCCATCGACAATAGGTCTACCATAGGCTCTTGTGACCTTTTGAATTACACAAAGTATGTACTATATAGTAGCACAATACCAGAGATTGCCATCACCAAAAAAAGTGTACCTCACATACACAAATGAATATAACAGACAAATTTTATACATCTCCGTAGTGAAGTATAAATAAAAATTGGGATAGCAAAGAAAATGAAGGATACAACTTGTACAACAGGGAATAATCTATGGAAGATCTAGAAATATAAAACCACAAATGGTGAAGTATGTACAGGAAAGGTGACTAAATCCAGGAGGTAGAAAACTTACAAGAGAACACGATGTTCTGCGCCTATCTTCCCTCTGGGGTATGTAGGAAGTGAGGTCTCCTTATACAATAGATCCTCAGGGGGATAAAGGCAGAGTAGTACTTTTAAAATATTACAAAATTTGAATACACTACACTTACATCAGTGCTGAAATCAACTAGCATATCTCCACTAGCAAGTGGAACAAGATGAAATGTCCATCAAAACGAAATGGAGGCAGACAAATACAGCAAAGTAGTACAGGAACAAAATTAAAAACAAATGATCCTGGAGACAAAATAGTCCAGACAGTAATCCAACGCGTCTTGTCAGAGCTAGACTTCCTCAGGGATGTAGTGAAGATAAGAATCAATTCTCATTTATACCGATCTGTAAATGGACACAGGTGTCTTCCATCAAACCATTTCCATTTTCCCACGGTGTAAAACACTAACGGGTTCGGCTGGTGTCTTCTCATTGGACGGATGCAATTATGTCCGGGTGATTTCTAGTTGGAGAGCTTCACTTCCGCGTTCCACCGTGGAACACACGGGTGTAAATGGTGCTCTAGTGTACCAGATCATAGATAAATTCACTTCCGCGTTACACTGTGGAACACGTAACGAAAAATATAACAGCGGCCTCACCACCACAGGACAGATATATAGAAGGAAACTTCTGCTATAGCAATATGGATCAAATTAATCAATCTAGATGTACAGAGTTTCAAAATATACTTGAAAGAGGACATATGGAACACATACTATAAGAAAAAAAAACCTGTGGAAATATGAAAATATATGTAAATTGATTAAAAAAAAATAAAATTAAATATATGATTCCATAGGTGACTTATTTCGCCCAAATATGTACAAAAGATGCACACACTATCTGGTATATGTCTGATATACAAACTCTATAAAAGAGAACATGATTAGTATACATAGAATAAATACATGAAATATGACCTAGTAAAGGTCAAAACCCTTAACCACAGAAACCGAAACCTGTCCGTCTATCACGACTGCCAAGAAACCTATTTTTTTTTTTTGGGTCTATTAAATAAACTCCCTAGTTATGGATAGAGGGTAATACTTATAAAATTAAAGACCTGCTTAATCAATATCTTGATTCAAGCCTTTTTAAGTGGGGTGGTTTTTTTTTGTCTTCCCCCCCCCCCGCCCCCACCCCCCCAAGTTCTATATCCATTGGGCCTCTTTCTTAGCCAATTAATTCATTCTATTTGCCCCTCAGTGATTTTTCAATTTTATCTATGCCAATGGCAATGAAAGTGGACCAATTTAAATAAAGCGCAGTTGTTGCTGTGTTTTTAGGTACACTATATGATCTGCTTTTGTTTTTATATTAAAATGTTCCCGAATTCTGGTG